TATCTTTTGACATAATTTCAGTTATTACTCATGGTGTGGGCAACATTGTACAGAATAAAAATCTGTGGATTTAATCGGGTGATTTAACACTAGATAATCCTATGATTAACATCAAAGTATTTATTTGTCACTTTATTATGTAACAAAAATTTCCATGTGTTGGCATTTAATATTGATCTTTGAGTAGGATTTCTACAGCCTAGATAAAAAATTTGCTCTAGGACAACCTTGCATTTATCCTGTCATAAATAACAGGCTGTAAGGCTAATCCACATATAATAACTGTCAAGGAAAAAAAAGCCAGCTGCCATTGATTAAGTCCATGAAGCAGTCTTTTATAATCTGGATAGAAATAAGAACAGATATAGATTGGCAGTTTAAAGCAGGTATATATAGAAGGGAGTTTGGAGAAGAGAGAGATAGTCTAGATAGATACACGTAGCCTACCTGACAGGAGAAAAAATATTACGACATATTGAGAGCTAAGGAAAGAAAGGCCTTTACTAGACAGGGCAGTTGTCAGACTGTTCAGATTATAAAATAATTGGGTTTGTATCTAGCAAAACGGGGCTAGACTGATGCCAAAAATGTGCCACATTAGTACATAGTCAACAGAAGAAAAGGGGATTTTTTTTAAAGAGATCCAGTAGACGGTTCAGGTGTCAGACTGCACCACTGATAAAAAGTTCAAGTTGTAAAAGACAAACAGGTCTACCTGGTGCAGAAAACACGCCATATTGCTGTATCTGAGAGATGAAGAGGATCTAGCATAGCATTTATACTAGACCGAAGGTATGGACGGTACAGTTGCTTGTTGATTTGCTGAACCTTGAATGGAATATGAGTAGACTAAACAGGAAGTGAAAAAATCAGCGTAGGTGAAACGCAGAAATATTCCCAGAAGAGCTACATCTGACGGAGAAAAGGTATCAGACTGATCATTTCGAATGGTTTGTGAAACACAAAAAAGTTGTGCAGTAGACTTTTTTCACCATATTGTTGTTGGGAGCTAGCGAGAAGGTCACAAAAGCCTTGGAGACAATTATTTTATGACGTACACAGCGATAGGAATAGACTCTGGTTGTAATGCATTGAAAGTCAATTTGCTGTTGGCTGGTTTAGGCTGTTAGTGAATTAGCCCTGCCCATTATGTATGACTGGATGCTACTAATGCTGTGGAAAACAGGACAGGTCAGTAACTGTATTATGCATATATCAGTTTCCTCTTTCAGGCTAGTGGATCCTTTGATTAGGTGTGATATTTTTAGTTTCTCATTTTCGTTGGGTTGGTGAAAAATATATTGCGTGTAGGTTAATTGATGTTCAGCCGCCAGGATATTAATGGTTTACCCAAGTCTCTTTTTATGCTCAAAATCTTCAACCAGTATATTTATCAACTTTATTAGAATAGGTGAAGGGGAAGGGAAATTTCAATTTCTACTGGGCAGCAGTGTTCAATATTCTTAGCGACAAACATGTTTGATGAGTTGGAACGAATTGATTTTCATAGAAATGTGGGGAAATGTGTGCTAGATGTAAGACATTTTTTGTCCTATAATATGGTCTAATGGAAGCATTGTAATGATCATGAGCATTTGCTGTCCCAGATCGTATGGTACTAACTTTGGATCGATCTATCTCCGAGGGGATTCTCACTAAATTGCAATCAACTTAAGCAGGTTAGATGTCTGTCAAGCCTACTGAAGCTGCTAGGGGGTAATTAATTGTCGTTTAGCAGTTTCATTAGGCATGCCAGACATCTAAGCCGCTTAAGCTGAGACCAATTTACGAGAAACCCCTCGGAGATGGATTGATCCTGTTAGATCAATCTAGGTATGGGAACCGAGTCTAAGAGTCTCATGAAAATATCAAACCTGGAGAACACAAGGAGGCCATTTTCCAATATTTATTGAATCATTTCCCAGGCTTGGTTTCAAAATCAGAAGATGGTGGAAAAAGCTTAGGAAATGACTTGGGTCGGGATGTTTATAAGTGTTCAGTCATTATTTACAAATCATGTGTGCTAAAACATGAGAACGCACATATATACAGGCATGTCAGATGTGTGAGTGCATGTGGTGATGCATGCATATGCACACGCACACACACATACAGAGTTTTGCCATAAAAATTAGTACAGTTAAGATAAAAAATGAAAGATATACATTGAGATATATGTGAAGCACTGGTCAAGTCAGGTGAGAACAGGTTGATAGATAAATCTAGCTGTCAGTGTAAACAGTAATGTTAGCAGTTCTGTGATCTGGTAGTGGGCGTAGAATGCAGAAAGTGTCCTAAAACAAATTTAGAAAAACAACTAGGCCTTCTTAGGTTGTTTATGAGGCATTAGGTGCCTTGTTGTTTTTTTTTTCACTGTGTGCTCAAGGAAAAAGAACTGCTGTACTCATAACTAGTTCTGTCACCTGTATTAGGGACATTTCACCTGAGAATACTGATAATAAATGATTCCCTTTGCATTTGATGTGCATTTAAGTGCTTTTGCATGTATATTAGTTACGCAGTTGTATAAATTATGCATATTTATTTGCAAATTTGTTTTTGCGGAAGTAGCTGCCTGTGTGTGTATGTGTGTGCATTTGTGTGTGTGTGTGTGTGCATGTGTGTGTGTGTGTGTGTGTGTGTGTGTGCGTGTGTGTGAGAGAGAGAGGATATGTGTGAGGACCAGATTGGTTATTTGTAAGTTCTAGTGTTGCCCCCCTCCTCCTTACTTTATAAATATGGAAGCACTGGCCATTTATCACATTACAATCGTGATTCTACATTTGCTTTCCACATATCACCTCGGTGCAAGAATCACACCAGATTTTTCCTGAACATAATCACAGCTTATCTGTTTGTTTTTTTAGTTCAGGTTGGCTCTTTGCTCAACCGTTTACCCAACATAAACTTACAACTACAGCTGAGCTACAGCTTGGCTTGTTAACATATTTGAAATAGCCTACTCAGTCCATTCTTGAATTTAATATGGAGTTTCATTTATTTGCCGACACTTACGTAGGACATTTTCAAAGAAAAGACAGAAAGAAATCATGCATTGTGAGTAAATGAGGTTTATTAGAGTGGTAGCTATGGGAATGCAGTCTTGTATACTAATTACATTCCATGATTTGCATATGACCATGTCAAGTTGAGTGAAAAGATATAAATATCATCCTCAAATGCCCTTGAAAATAATTATAATGATTATGATATGTACATGTGTATGTATTATTGAAATAATTCAGTTGAACACTTAGTGATAAAAACTAAACGAAGTGTTTGTTAAAAAATCTGTTGCAGCTGTTTGTGGTATTCATGCACAACCCCTTTTAGCCATTGGGTTTTTTCTGATATGAGCCCAGGTAGTAGAAAAAAAAGCATGAAACCAAAAATAACACCTTCATCCCCAAACTGCTGATATGACATTGTGGGCGAAATTATCACACTTTATCTGAAGACAAATGAAGCCCATCAACATAAAATCATAATACTAGTATGATAACAACCAGTGTTACACAAAGGCGTTTTTATCTAGATGTTGACTAATGGGGTACGTGTCCTTAATGTTTTCAGGAACAGGTACTCTTTACTACAGTAGAATAAAATACTAAGGTCTTCATTTGTTAACTGTAAATATACAAGAGAGAGAGAGAGAGAGAGAGACATTTTTGTGGTATTTTTGAATTGATGTATTTTAGTTATCTTGCTTCTACATCGTGAAGTAAAGGTAAGATAATGGGACTGTGTGTTACAGGTAGAAAAATAGGTTTGTAGGTTAAAGGGCCCATAAAAATATGGGTCATGGTGTTTGCACAGATGTAAACAAACCATGCCCACATCATTATAATAGTAGAGCAATTGGCAAAAAAAGTAGAAAAAAAGAAAGGAAAAGAAAAATAAAAAAAAGCAAAAAAAAAAAAAAAAGAAAGAAAGAAAGAGTGAGAATGAGAAAAGAAAAAGAAAAATGGGTCATGCATCCCCTAGGGGGCAGTATGATTTTCTTCTCCTAAGTTACCAGCGTACTTGCCAAACAGCTCTCATGCATAGTGCAAAGAGGGCAACTTGACAACTATACTAGTAGACCATGGGGAAAAATTGCAGTGATGTAATTTGCTGGGAACTGTCTTGCTCATTTATATTGAACTTTATTTGATACCTAGATTTTATTTCTCCTGGGTTCCCATAGGCTTTTTTGTCCTTTTAAACCTTTTCAAATATGGAGAGCTGTGACAGTCACACATAATCAAGTGTGTATGATATTGACTACCTAATTTGATGCAACTACTTACTTAGTGCATTAAAACTTGAATTAAAGCCAGAGTTTGAAAAAAGTGACAAAGTATATCGCCCATGAAAAGAGGGTCCAGACCACCCCCAGGGGTAGATTGATCAGTAGAATGGATTCCAGGCAACATACACTGTAGGACAAAATGAGTGCTTTGACTCCCTTATCAATTAACAGCAATAACTGTGTGCATCCAGGCATTAGGGATTTGGATTGTTGGGTTTCAACTTGCCTTTATGGGAAAAAGAAGCCATATTTGCCATTTTCCTTTGTTTTGTTCTTTTTAAAGACAGCAGACACCTAAATGCATTACAAAGTTCTGTTTGTATGCTTACAATAATCACAAACAATTAATGCCATGATTGTGACACAGGAAATATTGTGATTATTTTTGTTTTGAAATTCATAATATCAATAAAAACAAAATATGTGGATGGTACTGCAGCGATAAGCAGTGCTAAACCGTCATGATGGTATTTCATCTTAAAACCTTACAAAAAATAGTATTATACCATGAGAAGTTTTTGAAACACAAGCAGTGAAATCTTATATTTTGCTAGTTATGTGCAAAAGTTAGTTTTTTTTTCACATCGTGCGTTATATGTACCTGAGACCAAGTTTTTCACTGTAAAATACACATGCCATCATCAAGCTACAGAAATGTCATAGTTCATTGAAAAAAAGATATTCATCTAAAATTTCCTGTATATTTCAGTGAATGATGTGGTTTCCATCTTCATCAAGAAAGAAGATGGGGAAAAGTTGGCAGCACTTGTGGATAACAACACCAGAGTCACAATGAACATTAGCGTAGGCACCAAGGAGGATCAGTCACCTAACCAGGGCGTCAACAGAACCTCTGTGCTCTTTGTCTCTATATCCTTCATTGTCCTGATGATCATCTCCCTGGCTTGGCTCATTTTCTACTACGTGCAACGGTTTAGGTATGCACATGCCAAGGAAAGGCTGACGGTGAGTATTAAGTCCAATTCATGTCAAAAGTTAGGTTGAGATCCATGGAAATGTGAATAGATTCAAATGGCATTATTACACCCCATTGCCATAGACACCAGTGGGCTATGTGTATCAATCCAAGAACGCATTTACATCAAGGCATGACAAGGCCGAGACCTACATATGGCGGACGAACATGAAAGGAAAACTGCCTAATCCTTTCATGGTCTCTCCGCCTCTCACACACCTCCCCACGCGCCATCCCTGCAGGGGTACAGTCATTAAATCTCCGCTTCATTGGGACGACGCTTTGGGAGGCATGTGAAAGGCGGAGAGACCATTAAAGGGTTAGTCGGTTTTCCTTCCATGTACATCCGCCATATTTAGGTCTTGGCCTTGTTGAGCCTCGGCTCTTCTCGATGTGAATGCGGTACAACTCTGAGGGGACTATCCCTGACTGCACTCAGCTTAACAGAATGATGCGGCTCCTCTTGTATCCAACGTACTCGTATACACACCAGCTTTTCTGTGTTTTACTTAAGGACAAGCGGAGGCATAGCCATTCAGTTATGCTGAAAGCAGTCAGCGAGAGTCCCCCTCAGTAGGTCCGCCATATTTAGGTCATGGCCTTGCTAGCACTCGGCTCTTTTCATTCTGAATGCCCTATAAGTCTCACGTCTATGGCCTGTTTTCATAATAAGAATTTATGTTCCCTTTAAGGAGACGTGTGGTGTGGGACTTAAAGGATAAAAAAAATTACATAAATGATTGTTTCTGAAGCCTTCAACAGTTTTCCAATAAGTGCATACCAGTGACCCACAAATCCTAAAGCACATTATTCAATAAGACAATGAAACTGCCATTTAAGTACATTTATGTGTAATTGTCACGACCTGGGGCCGTATTCTCGAAAGGTTGTAACTTACAAATTCTTGTAACTTTTCACGTAATTCCGATCGTTCACGTAAGTTGGTATTCTCGAAGGTTTGTAAATTACAAACTCTTGTAAATATGCATGTAAATTTACAACTGCCTCCGACCTGTTGTAAGTCGCTACAAAAAGTTGTACGCATGCGCATTTGGTGAAAAGTCGGGGAGAGAGTGTTGTCTGCTGAAATTTTATGCTCGTGTTTATTGTTGGATATTTTTGACAGCAAGTAAAATTATTAAACCATGGATCTATTATTATAGGCGATAAAGGTTAACCTTTCGGATATTTCAGGTTAGTTGCCTAAAGTTAATGATTTAGATGAGAACAATACGTTTATGTCGATCGCGTAATCGCAAGATGGCAGTTTGGTAGGGTGTCCGAATTTTTAAATTAAAACGAAAACTTGTATTTTTTAAAGTACGTGAAAGAACTATTAGTGCTGCGAGAAAGCCAAGTTAATGGGTTTTTTGGCGATATAAGGCACTTCAGTTGTTACTCAAGATTGATAAATTGAGCCGCGGTTGAATTTCAGATTCTGAATCTTCGACTTTTTTAGGATGAAGATACATGTTTAGTTAGTGAATAAATTAAAATTATACCTAAAAACCAAGTTTAATAGATGGGGTTTTGTTCGGAAGAAAGTTATCTTTTAACTGATGTATAATGTTTGCTGTCATTATATTACTTACAAAAATTCTGTGAGATTTTGTCGTGAAGGTGTGTCTGAAAATCGCCATTTTTATCGGCAATTCATTGAGTCAGGTTCTTATGCCTATATTCCATACATGTGGTGGATAAGATATATGTCTTCTACATCACAAAAAAGTACGTTTCAAATCCTTTAAAATGATATGCTGCACACTATGTATCAAAAAGTATCGAGAGGCTGCCAAAGGAATAGAAACGTGTAGAAAAAAAAGTAGCAAATGTTGACCCCCTTTCCGGCGACGTGGTGACCTCGATCAGCTGATGGCTGCATTTAAAACTATGTATAAGTTTCATTACTTTTATTTTGTTGATTATGTAAATAATAATGAATTAACTACATTCAATGATGATTATAATAACTTATCATCTACTTTCGAGTGATTTTAGATATTTAAACAGTATTTTAACTAATTTAAAAGGCTCGGTTTATCCATTTAAATGAAGGAGATCCAGTTCAAATAATGAGGTAATTATCATTGATGGAAAAAACAAATGACTTAAAACTGTTAAATACCCAAAAAAAAAAAAAAAAAAAAAACTTACTAGTAATATGTGAATTAATAAAAGATTGTACATATTGGCATTTTTGATAGTATTCCACTTATTATGGCTTTCCTTATATAACATTGTACTTATTACAAAGTTACAGAGTAAATTCTAATTTAGAGTAAAATGACACTTGCTTAGGTTGCACTTTGATCATAACAATTATAGCTGTTTTCTTGCTACTGTTTCATTTTTAAATTGATTTCATACTGCAAAATATAATTCCTGCATAGTCCCATCTACTTGCTGCAGTTCTAAGATAAGGGAAAATAAAACCAGTATATACCATAATTTTAATTAAAATTAAAAAAAAAACTTTTTGCCAAAGAAATAAGTATATTTCATTATTTCAGTTCCTCAGAATACAAATGTTTAGTCTTGTTACAATAATAATGAATAACAATAATAATAACTGAAAGTTTTAATGCTTATCATTTTTTTCTGTATTTTCTCTTTTATGATGCACTCACACATACATGCACACATGTACAAACATACATGCAAACATACATGCACACACAAACAAGATTGTCTCTTTCCATCATATATCGCTCAGGAATTATTTTGGGTTTTGTTTTGGATAAAAAAGTATTTTGTATTTCTTATCACAATTGTTATGGCTGAAACTAAAATTGCATGCACTGTACAGTGAATTTCCTTCTATTTTCAGGAAACTGATTTAATTTGAGTAAACAAATAGAAACATCTTATAATTCGCTATGAAATATATTTCAGCCGTGGCTTGTAATTTGTAGTCACAAAACAGATTTTCTTTTCTTTTTTCTTAAGTCAGTTTTAGGGATAATCATTACCTTTCACCTTTTATTTCAGTTTTTTGTGAGTTATCATGGATGTTTGTATAACTTTCTATGATGAAAGTGTGCAATGTCAAGGTTCATACATGAACACTAATAACAAATTCAAGGATTTTATAAGAACTTTGAGACTAATTCAATTGCTTTTCAAGGACTCTTTAAATGCAAATGAGGGCAATGTAAAGTCACTCAAAAGTTTCTATAACAAAGATAAGAGGAAGTAATATATCATTTAAATTAAATTTTATACACACTGGTGATGAAACATAAAAAAAATTAAATAATGTCCAAAAAGGAACATCTCCCCTTCCTGTGAATTACTGCCTTCATGCATCCAGGTTAAAAACTAAATTCAAGCACATTTCAAGGTTCAAAATGATTGAATACACCTAAAATGAAATAATTTTGGATGTACCCAGCAACAGATTCATATTTCATGAATGTTTACTGTGTCACCCACACACATTTTATGCACACACTCTACATATAAATCTTTGTCAAGGATTTGTAAGTCTCAGCTGCAGTGAAATAAAACAAGAACACAGGCACTTGTAAAGAATTTACATCTCATATGACAACTGTTGGTGAAAAAATCCAGAAGGAAAGAATATTTTTTTAGTTTTCAGTGAGTGTAAATTAGTAGATATGATATGAAACAAAAAATACCTGAAATTATTGAAAATGTGACTGAGAAATCATTGACCAAATTTATTATTATTATTATTATTATTATTATTATTATTATTATTATTATGTTTTTACTTATTTACAAAATCCTTTATTATCATTTTTTTACTGCTTATACTAGCCAACCTGTAGGTACATGTTCATTTGTACCAGTACAATGTGCATTTCATACTGACATGAAAAAAAAAATATAAATACTCACTCTTTATGGTAACAACAAAGGTGTACTGGAAAAATATTTTCACTTTTATACCAACACCCATTAATTAATCACAATTATCAATTTTATTTTAAAATAACATGTTCATATTAAATTGAATGTCATTTTTGAAAAGTTGGGACAACTTATTTGTGTGAATTAATTTGTGTTATTATTTGTGGCTTAACATGAAAATATCATTTACTAACTCTTCATCATAAAAAAATCACAGCAAACGTGAATAGAAAAACAAATGTACTCACTCATATTTAATAACAAAGTTTATATATTAAAATAAAAATTACACTTTTATATCTAACTGAATGGCATGCATATATAGAGAGGAATTGTGTGAACTTATTTGTATGGCTTTGGTATCCTAAGACAGCATGAAATCCAAGCAAGTATCAAATTTGAACAATGTGGTGAGTGTTTATTATAAGCTACTTACTGTAGGATATATTCACACACGTTTTCATTGTAAATTTAATGAAATAAAGCGCTTTTTGCTAGCAGCAAACTTGGGGAATCCCAGCTGGGGGAATCCCTCAAGAGGAGCCAAGTCCGATTTCTGAGCTCGCATGTCGGAGGAAGTAAATTCAAAATGAGTTGGTTTTCCGACGAAAACTTGTAAGAAAATGTTGGGAAACGTCTTTCTGAATAATTTTTAATATATTTCAAGACAGTTTTATGTCTAGATAATCGTTTTATCGACGCAAAGCACGGCAGAGGAATACGTCGATGTGGGTTATTCATGGACCGAACGTCACTTCCGGAAAGTTACGTGAAAAGTTACAAGAGTTTGTAAGTCCACGACTTACAAGAGTTTTGAGAATACCGTGTAAGTCGAAGATACAAATTCACGTAAATAGTTACAAATTGTTGTAAGTTACAAAGTTTTGAGAATACGGCCCCTGTTGTTCAGGTCCATGTTTTTTTTTTTTTACTAAATGGGTCATTCTGATAATTTCTGTTATCCTAATTTTTTCTTGATATTTCAGCGGCGTTTGACAAATGCTGCCAAGAAGGCTATTCAGAAAATCCCAGTGCGCACCCTAAAGTCTGGAGATAAAGTAAGAGAAACTGGAATTAATGGTCACGCTCACAACAGAACTAAGACTGCATTCTCATAGATTTAGATCAAACCATCTAGATCAACCTAACTCCCTGGGGGTTCACGCTAAATTGATGTCAGCCGAGTGTGCACAGTAGTTAATTACCCCTTTACAGCTTTTAGTAGGCAGGACAAACACTTAAGCCGGCTAAGCTGACAAAAATCTAGTGAGACTCCCCACAGGGATAGATTGATCTAAAATCTGTGGGAATGGGGTCTAAGTCATGAAATAACCCTGACTTCCAAGATAACCAGATCCAAAGAGAGGCCTACCATGCATGAAAATACAGAACCCATTGTGAAGCAATCTGGTGTTCTTGAGACAATAGTTAGAGGATTTTTAGTTCAGTTTTATCTGTGTTGAGCTTGGCCTATCAGCCCCAATGGGTAAAAACTTTGTAGGTAGCAGAATTAATTAATTTGCCTTAGTGTATGGGTTAACCAGGATGAATTGAGTTAGGCAATTGTCTTAGTGAAGTACTAGCCTTATGGAGAAGTGTGTTTCCAACGTGCTGAAAGTCCTGTTTATAGTGGAGATAGATGGCCATAATTTATATGGCTCATCTTAGGGGGAAGAGAGTTTTGTTTAAACCTCTCTCATCATAGAAGGCAAAGCTTACCCCTCTCTCGTCCTGCCCAGTACCAGTTTGATTAAGGTTTAACTGTTATGCATTAGATTTGCTTCCCATCATGAGCTGTTAGCAATTGGAGAATAAGAAATTCCTAAGGTAGGCCTGCCCATCTTTAATTGCTACAGGCTTCAGAGTAACAAAAAAATGTATTTAGTATAGTTATTGTGTTGTTTCAGGTGTAGCATTCTCAGATGTTTTGTCAAATTGGTTAGTGAAAAATGTACCACTTTTTTGGTGTCCTCATATGGGACAAGTCAAAAGGGGTTGACAGAAGAATTGAAATGCTTGTTAGGTGAATCTTGAAAAGGTGGGAGACCTGGAAATCATATTTTGTAAAGATAAAGCATTGTTTCCTCAAAAGATCTCTCTGATAAAATGTCAATGAAGACTGAATTGCATGTTGGGATGGAGTGTTTCATTAAAATGCTACTTGAAAGTACAATGCATTTGTCGATAAAGAGAGAATAAAGTTGAGGTTGAGACTGTTAATGGCAATGTAGGACGTAATGGTGGAAAGCATGTTCTAATCTAAATGCCAGGCAGGTTATTAGAGGAAACAGTCTGATTGTGCAAAGGGAAAAGAACTCATTACATGATTTTTGCTATCCAGAGCGGAGATTATTGCCCATATCCTTCCTTGCTTATTGAGTTGGGGAATCGTATATCATGTGTAAATGGTTGTTGGGTTAATATGATTGTAAGTGGTGGGAGATGTGGTTATTATCAAATACTCAGGCCATTAAGATCAATAAGGAGTAAAAGATAGGAAGAAGAAGAATTAAGTATCCGTATTTCAGTTCAGAACTACAAATTTGTATGTAGAAATTTTGTTATTGATAGACTACTAAAAAGGTTGCTTGTGCCATCTTTTCTGGTGCGCGCCATCCCTTATTTATTGCATGTGGTTTAGCTACGCAAAGAGGAGTCACACATTGATCATTTTGATAATAAAAAGTATCATAACTGCTGTGTGAATATGAATAGTAAATTATATGATGCAGTTCAGTAAAATGGTGTAGTTGAAAAAAGATTAACACAATGAAAGTTTTTTTTTTCATAAGCAACTTATTTTAGCACATGTTTAATTCGAGAATATGTTATTTTTTAGGAAACGGAGACAGAGTACGAGCAATGTGCAGTGTGCATCGAGAACTACAGACCTCATGAGGTGGTCAGGATTCTTCCTTGCAGGTAGAGTGTGTGAGCTTGGGTTTGTGTGTGCGCGTGTCTGAGACATTTCCTTTTCAGGTCTGTACACCAGGCCTCATAAATGATGAGTGCAGTTTGTGATCACGAGCCTTGAGATTTGCAAGAACGAATGCCCAAATTAATGACTGGAATCACAATTTAATGGCATGAAATTAAAAAATTAGCGGATAAGAGCACTGTATCAAAAAGCACTGTTTAGCCAACTTTCATGCGGGTATCTTGCTGTTCACATACGTGTTCTTGTTCTCAATGCTGACCTTTTTTCAATATGGCGGAAGATGCAAGAAACTGCACGTTAGAGGATTCAGAGGTTCCTGGTCCAGAAAGAGTGACATTTTACTCCTCTTTCTACTTCTTAGAAGAAATACAAAGGATTCTTGACATCTACACCAAGGCCCAGTATAGTGGCTAGAGCCTTATTGACAGAATTTCAGGCACATAAATAATGATGCTCCACAAATGACAATTAGGACACGAGTAAAAATTGATTTAAAGATTGATTCGCCAACTCGCAAATATCTTTTCCGTGCATTTCCTTTATCATTAGAAAAATAAACAAAAGTAAGTAAAAAAATCATCAAAAAATCAAACTAATGTATTTCTATAATTTACTATCCATACCACTTATTAATATGGCAGTAATGTGCTCTCAACAATCTCTTGTACATGCAGATTTACTGGATTAGGAGTTCGTGGTTTGTAGCGCTGTGCTCATGGCTGCTAATTCTATGTTCATGAAATCGTGATTTGAGTCATTAATTTGGGCATTTGTGTTCACAAATATGAAGTTCGAATTTGCAAATGGCTAATCGGCTTATAAGGCCTGTTCACACAAGGCTCATTGGTACCAAAATGTGGTCTTGATTCCACTATCAGATGACCATGTTTCACAGAAAAAGTCTGGGGATCTGTTAAGGTGGGTCATGCCCAGTTGATTATGTAAATTCTTTTTCACTGAAATTATTACTTGTAATAGTTTTGTTTTGAATGCAATTTATGATTTTGCTAATTGTGATACTTTGTATGCTGTGCCAGTCCACTCAATGTTGTTTAACTTATATTTATGTTGGATAAGATGTGACTTTTCCTCACCTGCTACCCAAACCATCATTGCATGTGATAAAATCCACCTAGTCTTGTTTACCAGAGTATCATATGTAAGAAACGAAACGAGATAATTCCTGTAATTGCACCTGAGATGTTGAGAGATGATTGTTGCATGTGGTAACTGAGACTAGCAATATAGCTGCACTGGGATAACACTAACACTCACCAATTTAGCCTCATGCTAAAACTGACTTAAATTGGCTAAACAAAAAAGGCTTGATTTGATTTGTTTTAGTCAAATGATAACCATTTGGATAAAAAATTGGCAAAAAGTGGTGCTTTGGCTAAGCAAAAAAAGAAAAAAAATTGCTAGCGCTACGCAAGTAATATATGTGTTTATATATGATGGACTTTGTCTGACCTCTCCAGCTTTGTGTCCAGTGCAGTGATGGCATAATGGCAAAAGTCCTAAAAAGGTGTCTGCGCACACGTGTGTGTGTGTGTGTGTGTGTGTGTGTGTGTGTGTGTGTGTGTGTGTGTGTGTGTGTGTGTGTGTGAAAGAGAGAGAGAAAAGAGAAGGAATGGGTATGTGTGCATTTGTGTGATTGTGTACATGAGTCTGTGCATGTGCATGCATATGTGTGAAGACAGTGTGAGAGGTAAAGAGTTAGCGAAAGAGTGAGAGAGAGAGAGAGAGAGAGAGAGAGAGAGAGAGAGAGACGGACATTTTCTAAAAATCCTTAAGCCATTCTCTCGTATATTCTACCAGAAAAAAAGAAGTAGTCTGGCAAAATGTAGTGAAAAAGCTAAATGAAATGAAGTACTGAGTTGTTGTGGGATCCCAGAGGTATTGACGTGCTTAGAACATAGGCAGTGTATTAATTTAGTTCTTGTGGCATGATGATATTTCTTTGCATGGTAATATGTCTCTTATAGTCTAGACTTTGAAATAGCATGACTGGGAAAGACGTCCCAATTTTTCCATCCACAATATAACACTTGACTAATGAACCTGATTAGAAAACATAATGAAGTGCAAGAATTGCTCTGATTTTCTTAAGTTATATCAACGGCACTATGTTAAACTTAATGGCTCTTTGAATGATTAAGGTACAGGAAGGAGAACAAGGCCATGTGATTAATGCTCGTCCCAGATATAGGTTTAGAGTATACTGCTGTAGGACTAAATGTGTACAGATCAAAAAGGTATTCAAGTAGTGTAGGAAGTAAGATTGGCAATTAGACCAACCAGCAAGAAGGAAGGCAAGCAGGAGACAGACGGACAGACACGCAAACAGACAGACAGACCGGTCAACACCTAGTTTATTGTTTCCAATATTTTTTTAATTTTTCAAATATATGACAGTGTGAAAGACATGTTTCATTTGGATGGAAGTTGTTTGAAATGGAAACAATTAATGAATAAAAAGGAATTTTAGCATGCAGGTAAATATAGTAAAGAGAACTGGTTACTAATGATGGTTTGGTGGACCCTGCCTCTAACTGTCAGTTTAATGTTTTGTTTTGGGTTTGAACTGGCAGAAATTATTCCCATAAATAAGTTGTTTCTCATTTGACCATTAAAGATATTTTACAGTATGCTTCAGAATAATTTTGGTTTGACCATATCATTCCAGCTTTATGACTGAAAAGAGAAGCATTAGTCTGTTTGTATGAATGTTTTATTTAAAAACATAATCTCAGTACTAGCATATTGTTTTCTCCTACAGGCATATGTTCCACAAATCCTGCGTTGATCCATGGCTACTGGAACAGCGGAGTTGTCCTATCTGCAAGACGGATATACTCAAGGCTTATGGTGTGCAGGTAGGCTGTCAACAAACTATGATAACCATTTATTTTATTTTATTAAATTTTTCACTGATAAAGTGATTGGTTTATCAATTAATTATTGGTTTTTTGACAAATTGGCAAAAAATACCTTTAACAAACAGAAGCACTTGGTCCTGTAGACCAGAATTTTGTATAGAAAATTTAGTAGATTAGCAAATATATATATATAGAGAGATTCCTTAGCCATCTATTTTTTATTTTTTTTATAGAAATGTGATATTTAACAGGTGACTAATTCATATCACGCACTCACCTGTATATTATATGGACCAGATTTCGGTAATTGCACAACATGAATGCACCTACATGTAATTTCCTCAAGCTATGTGCCAAGGGAGACTAGAAGTTATGAAACCTGGGAGACTGGTCTGGGAAAGATTTCAAGGCATATTTTTCTTCTTGTTTATTTGGCACGTCATGTTGTTGGCAAATCCTGTAGGGTTTTGAATGTTAGGCTGCTTAGTGTGTGTGTGGGTTTAATCGCATTATGTTTTTAACATCGGTCCTGATTTAGCTTAGAACTGGTTTAGTAGTGTTAATTGTAGATACCGTAACTTGGTGCCATCCAATCAGTCTGCTAAAAAAAAGTAGATCTTTTCTAGAAAGTAGGTCTGTTGTTGAGAGATTCAGCAGAATCGTGGTGAACAGATTTGGTTAAAATGTCCACAAGGGGTAAATAAAATTTAGTCAACATTGGCTGAGTGAATTGTGGTTGTCATTGGCTGAGTGAATTGTAGTCACCATGTTGTTAACAAGGGCAAAGGATGATGATGATGATAATTGTCAAAATAAATACTAATAGGTAAATTATGTGAAACGCTGTGTGAATTTTAGTCAACACTGGCCAAGTGAATTGTAGTCAACACTTGGTGAGTAAGTTGTAGTCAACATTGTCAACATTGAATGCAAACATTCTGCGCAACACTGGGTAAGTGGCTCATGTTCAGCACTGGGTAAGTGAATCATAGTCAACACTGGGTACGTTGTAGTCAGTATGTGAAGATTGTCAACACTGAATGGGCAAATAATAGTCAACATTGCATTTGCAAGGTAAACAATGGTTAATGCAGATTGAATGAATTGTAGTGGATGCATTATGTTAGTACAGAGCCTTTGTAGTATTGTATGCCAAAACTTATTCAGTACCAGTCAAAAAGAAATCATAAACAGGATTTTTGTTAGTAAAATATTATCAGTGAAAGATTTCCCAAACAATTTTTGTAAAACTAAATGAAACTCGAGCATGTTTAAATATACCTCTTAAATATGATTCAAGACCTGTTATGTTTTTTTTTTTTTTACATGGCTTAATGATTGAATTAAAGTGAGCAACCACCAGCAGCAGCAGCAGTAGCACAAAACAATTTCAGATTATTATGTGAACAGAACCCATTAGATCTTCCAGGCTCAGGTGCAAAGGAATAGCTTTTTAGCATGCAGTGTATGGGCCTCCGGTTATGAAATGATGGATCGTAATGTTATACTTAATATTGGTAGGTCAGCACTGTCACGTTGTACGAACGAATATTAAATGGAAATGTAAGGAGCTATATTGATTTCTTTATTTTTTTTTGCTTGGAAGTACTAAGAATGTTTGTTTTCTTTCTTTATGACATAATTTTCTTTTTGAGGGGAAATGTTCTTTGCCATTGTTTTTTTGTGTTGCATCGAAATGTGACAAAGACGTGATAATGTAATGAAGCTCTCACTCCTCTAACATTGGTTTGCTTAAGCACATACAGACAAACAAAAATTCTTAACAGTATTTTGAGACCCGTCAGTAATGTTGGAATAATTTCAATAAAATGGCCATAGGATAGAATAAATATTTGGCCTTTTTTGACTGTCAGAATATTTTCTGAGATTACGTCCAATGCTTTGCGCTTTCCTTTGCTATAATAATTGTGATGTTTAGACCACCTTAATGATCCCCTTCCATTAGGAGCATTTCCAGTGTTCCAAGCATGTAACAATTTTCCACACAACCCACCAATGTTCTGCTCAACCATACTGATATAACTTGTGTTTCAGCACATTATGTACAGGTTTTCAGTCTCACAGACATATGTTCATGAGTTGCTTAATCATGGAATGTGATCTTACTGTCTGTCACGTTGCAAACACGCAAATCAATTCTTCTCTCCACAAAGTAGTCCTCTAATAAGTTGTTGATTGTTGCATTGGTAAAACTGTCTAGTTCATAGAAACCCAGTTGTTGATATCATATATCTTCCCATTTCATAATTCTCCGTCTTAAGTTTTTTTTTACTCTTTTAATTCTCAGCGTCTTGCCAATAAAAAGGCACACTATTGGTTCTTAGAAGATGGGATGTTGTTGTTCATATAAAGCTTAGTTGAATGTGAATGCCATGTTTTGGAATTGGAATCCGGATATCATCTGAAGGGTTTTATGTGGCTCATCACCAATTTGTCAAGCTGTTTAATTGTCGGAAATCATAGAAGAAATTTCCTGGAGGTCACAAGATGTTATTGACAAAGAAAAGCAAAATAATTCATCAGTTCCAAGAATTTTACAGATGGTGTGATTTGTAATGCATTGTTAAATCCTGCAGGCTATTTGGGTGCACGCTGTCTTGTATCGATTTGTTGTCATTTATGTCATTCTTTCATGTTTTCAAAGTGTAAATGAAGAAAATGGCCACTGAAAAAGGGAACAGTTAATCATGGACAGTCACATGAAGTTTGTGTCCACACATTCATAAATCTATATTTGATAATCTTCAAGTTTTTCCTTTTTACAGAAATTTAAGCATTACTGTAACTTAAATGTTTTTTCCACTGTTGATATTCCTACCATGCAACAGCTCAACTGTCTCTAAGCCTTTATTTTTTTGAATGTGGGAAAGAGAATTTTTTACGAACCAAAATTTGAAATGTAGTATGCCGTGAAAGAATTTAAAATGGTTTATGAGTTACTTATGTTCTATAGCATTTATGCAGAGAGCAAGCTATAAGATGAGAATTCTAAATGCCACACTTTTATGAAAAGGCAATATTTTGGTTGACTGATCTTTTGGGCTCAACACAAACTGCTCCTTCATTAAAATACTGTAACCATTTTTCTCTCATCTGTCATCAAATCAGTCTGTTTTAATTTTCCATAGGGCCTGACCAAAAGAAATCATTATCTATACATTTTACTTGCATGCAAGGTGTCTTGTAATTTGTGCCATGGAGGTTTTTACCCACACACAACCAATTAGAGTAGTCAGCCAACTTGAAGTAGACCACAGATGCGTCATCATTTCTATCAGTTAGCCAATCAGAGACAAATTGCATGTAAGTCATTGTCCTTTGCCTCTCTATGTCATAAGAACCCCACCTGATTATGTATAAAATCGAGAACTTGGCGCAGTGTCTGACTGCTGGCCAGTTGACCAATTAGCTCTCCAGGTTGGTTTCTGGTGAACTGCTGGTCCAGGAACAGTAAATCAAATATGCAATCGATATTTCATATGGTATCTGAAGGTACTGAGACTTGCTGTGAAGGACGCTTGACCCATGTTGATGTTGTTATTGAACGGTACAAGTGCATGATTTCATATCAAATAACATCATCATGTCTGCATGAAATCAATAAAAGTTCATCCTTCTAGTCTTACCGAAATCGTCCTTCTTTGATTATATAAAGCATGATTTCACAGGGTTATTAGATGAAAAAGATACTTTTATTGAAGGATCTGTATGCAGTTGGACAGTCATTTGATTACAATAGCTAACTATGGAGAGCCAATTGAACTCCCACATTGTCCCGCCTACTGCCATTTGTGTCGCGTTCAGTCCCATGTTGTTCGAAGTGTTGAGGATGATTAGAAACGTTTATGAGCATAGCTGCTGAGTCAAGCCATGGCAGCTTGGCTGTTAATGGACCACATTTCCATTGCATAGTAGTTAAAATACAGGCCTCTCATCTCAACTGACCAGCAAATTGAATATGAAATGCCAGATTTAGTTTTGAATTGAATGACCTCATCAATTCACTTTTCCAAAGGTAGAGCGTCAAAATTGTAGTTGTTTTAGCCTCATGAAGTATCTGTGAAAATGGTGAGGTTTCTGATGGATCCCACTGACCTGAGGGCATAATATTTAATGGTGGCATATATTAAACAGTGCATTGTGTTTTCAATACTCAACGCTCAAAACGGTACAGATCCTATTATTAACAATGTGATAATAGGTATTACTATACCCATGCAATAATTGCAGTAGGTAGAGCGAGAAATATCTGGTAATCAATAAGCAGAAATAGTGATAGTAATAGTCAGACAGTAATATATATGTATTATATATCTTCAGTTGTTTACGTCATCTGAAGGCTTCTACAGATTATCATGACTCAAGTTTCTGTACGGTAAAAACCTTGAATACTCTTGGCTAAATACTTTCTGTCATCTTTCCAAATTCTAAAATGTTCTTTATTAGTCATTTTGATTATCACTACACAGCTTTACTCTAAACTTGCCAGAACCTATCCTGAGTATTTAAGTATTTCTTTTACAAGATGATCGGAGTAATAAACTTGTAGACATGTAAAGGCAAACTTAAGTATAGACAGAGGTTACAGGGCTTGTGTTTCTCTTCCAAATGAGTCTGAATAACATTCACATTGGTAAGTAAGACTGTTTGCTGTAAAAGCTGAAGTCTCTAGTCATGATTTGCTTAACACATCCAAGCCTGAAATAACTTTGCATTTTTCACAAGGTTCTGATTTTTGTGTTTGTATGTCCCATCTGTTGTGTTTGAGAAAACTTAGGGACTGTTCACATGCAAAATCTATTTTCTAAAAATCTATTTTCTGTTCGCGGTATCTTGTGATCACGGTCTGTGCCCTGAATACCACGCGGTGTAATTACTGGCAGCGCAAGCCAGTTACTTCCAAAGCTGTAATTAATTCTCAGCTGCACTGGGAGTGATCACAAGATACCGCAAATAGAAAAAAGATTTTTAGAAAATAAATTTTTCATGTGAACGGAATCTTAGTGTTGCTGCCTGAAATGAAGTCAAAATTTAGTTTACCTGAGTGCTGTTATGTTTGCTAGGGTGTGTGGTGAGGGGAACAGGGTTATTCAGCAATGGGTGATCTAGCTGATAAGGTTTTTCTTTGGCTTTAGAAAGATATATTACCTGTGCCAGGTGCAAACTGAGTTGGGTAGGTTCCGATAACTCTGGAACATATTTTCACCTTGCTGCTTCTAAGTAAAGAGCTTAGCCCTAGATCTGTTGACTGATAGAAAGACTAATTACCACTTCAGCCATTGCCATAGTTACATTTTTTATGGGGGAGGTTTTATTGACTACTTAATAATGTCTTTTTCCCCCAGGAGGGAGATCATCCAATAGATAAATCTTCGGATTCAAAGATCCAAGGCATCACTTCCATATGCTATCATTAATTATTATATTATCTGTTAGGGATATTAACTTTCATTTTGCTATTTCCAGGTAAAAGGCCTCCCCCAGGACTCATCAACAGATGTCGAGGCCCCGGCCACCACAGCTGAAGCCTCCACAGGACTGTCTGGCGGGGGCCCGGGGTTGGTGGAAAGAACAGAGAGTGGGGTACAGATAGTACGTATACACCCACCCATAGTTCAGCTCCACCATCCTAGTCCAGGGCACCTGGCGGAAGACATTGTGGTGAGTCACACAGGTGGGCCTGAGAGGGAGGAGGAGGAGGCTGAGGATGAGGAGGAGGAGGAGGAGAGAGCGGCAACTAAATTGCAGTCCACACCCAGCATGGAGTGCTTACTTAAAAATCAACTGGATGAGGAGGATGGAAGGAAGACAACGGAGGAAGAGGGCAAGGTGCAGGATGAGGAAGAGGAGGAAGAAGGAGAGGATTTTCCTGTGACAAAGAACTGATTATCGTTGGAGAAGTTAACTAACACGTAGGGTGGAGTATTTGAACTCTTTGAAGTCTTTAATATTGAATTTGTTGGATGTCAGGAAGGAATTCCAGACAGGATGAAGGGAAAGAAATTAATGAAGAGAGGACGGGATAAAGATGTAACGGATTTAATGTGATAATTAAGTATTGTGAGAGAAACTTCACAAAACAGGGCACTGTAGTTGTCTTTAAAGAGTTAAATTTTCAATATTGAGCATTTATGTAGTGTTAAGTATAGATATTTGACTTGGAAGTTTTTTAATGACTGTAAACAGACTGATGTGACTCTTTAGTCAAATTACAGTGATATTCTGTAATAGCCTTCGAGGAGACAAAATAGCTTGTAAAACAGAAATATAGGTGGTAAATAAAATGCTATTGTATAATTTTATGATGAAATATGAAATGTATATGCCATTTTGAAAACAAGGTGTAGTGATACATGCAGAGAAATGTGCACTGCATGTTGATCAATCATGTTAATGCCATATTGGAAATGTAGTGCAGTGTTACATGCAGAGAAAAAAAAGTGGATACATGTACTTCAGTTTGTTAAGTGAATGCTGGTTGGAGACAGGGTAGTGTAGTTCAGCAAAATGAACAATATGTGTTGTTTTTATCACAATAGCCATGTTGGAGACAGCACAAAATTAACATATATTTCAGTGTACACTGTCTACTGTACAGCACCACTGGATGGATGACAGTAAAGATGTTGCTGTTATTGATTTATAGCACATTGCACCCATAGTATCGGCATAATTGTCATGGTATTTGGTTATATTGAAATACAGGGTGATGTGAAGTATTGAAAAAGTGCAACAGTTGTGTACATATTCCAAACCGAGACGGATATTTTTTGTTAAGTAATTCAAAAAGAGGAAAACTGAAGGTATTGTTTACCATTAGAATAAAAAAGAAAAAAAAAAAAACAGAAGTCACAGGCCCGAGAGTCACACATGAGTTGAAAGTTGATTGACATACTTGTAGAAAAAGGGTATATTATATAGGCTATATTTGAATACTCATTTGATGTACAGATTTGTATTAGAAAAACTGTAAGGCCATGTGTTGATAGGATGTCACTTCTTTAAGGAGTCTACAAGTTCAGATATCTACATTACTTTTAAGTTATTTTTATATATGTCACATTTATAGGGCTATGCCTTACCATTTATTGCTTTGCAAGAGGAATTGGAAAGCAGCACACCCCTTTATAAGTTCTTTTCCTTAAAATAATTAGCCTTTCGTTAGTCCATCAATGCCATTGCCTTTTTATAATATAAGCAAGGGCAAGCTCTATCACATGTCATATGTTTGTAAAAGAAGAATTAGCTTTTTTCCTAGATTAGACAATAAAAAAAATTAAATCAGACTGGATATTTTCTAGATTGCAGATGAATGTAGTCATGGCTTAATATTGAAAATGCATAGCCTGCTGCCTTTCATCTTTGTAACTACTAAATAATTACTGTGCATAATTACAACTACAAAAACTTGATCTACATCCCTGCGATTTGCAAACAAGGCAGAAAGTGATGTAAATATACTACATGGTTTATGTGGTATCCAGGGCTTAAAAAGAAAAGATTTTTGTTTCTTTTTACATAGTTGAAAAAAATCCACAGGTTCAAATGTATGTTTTTCTGATAGCCATTGGAGAATACTTTTTGACTTTTTTTATTAGAACTACAAAGACAACTTGGGCTTTAAGCAAAAATGAAATAGTTCCAATTTGAACATGCTTTCAGGTTTGAATAAATAGTATGCAGATAAATCTGCTGGTCATGCTTGTTGGATCAAGTTTTAAAGGGCTGTGTTCAGACAAGGGACGGAGGTAGGAGTGAGAAGAGGGGTGGAGTAGGGGGGCAGAAGAAGCTTGTAGAAGTCTAACCTAGCTGGTATTATTATTAATTTTCATCTTTAGGTAGAGGCGACTAGAGGGTAAGTCACTGGCCATGCATTGTCACCAGGCTGGATTTTACACTAATGACATTCTGAAATTGATATAGTGGCATATTCTTCATTATACAGGTGACTTAGCATGTGCAGGAGTACTCTTATTCCTTTTTTGATCGTTTTGACCTTTTTCTTCTATGTGGACATTCCAGGGGTCATTATGGTCATCCAGTGGTGGCCATCATTATTTATTTCTGGGCAGAGGGTCATCAGATTATGTAATTTAGAACAAAAACAGGTATTTGAGTTTTTCCAGACACCTCCCAAGGAATCCTGGTTCACACTTAATGCTTGTGGCTGGCATACCCATATGCATGATATTTGTTACAGCCATCAAGCCGAAGATTTTCAGCCTTGTGTTATTTTACAGAAAACCCAATGCAAAAATAATGAATAGCCTGTTGATTTGTTCTATTTTTTATGTTGAAGAATTTTGTTTTTGAAGATAAAGATGACAGAATTGAGTCTCAGGCTTTGGGAAGTCATGCAATGTTATTATACCACATGGAAAAGAAAAGCCATCTTGGAGCAAGTCAGGAGATGGGGTCTTTGCTTTATCAGCCTTTTTCAGTGCTAGGGCAAAATTTTGAATATTTTTGAAAAAAAATTAAAGCTCAACTTTTTTCCACCCAATTTCGTGTTGGTTTATCTGAAATCTTTATTTAAGGGAAAAGTAATGCTGAGTCTCATGTTAATGTATTAAAATATATTAATATAATATCATTATGTTAATATATCATTAAATGTTAATATAATATTTTAAAATATATTCTAATATATTAAACCTTAAGATGGAGAGAAGCTTTCAAATCAAAGATTATAGCTGTGGTCACCAGAGACTAATGTTTCCAGTGGCATGCACCTGACACTCAGGAGATTCAATATTACAAAAGCTTACACAGTGGTATGGCGCCTCTTCTTTCTTGAGCCTATTACTCAGCTTATTGTCTACACTTCATTTAAACATCAATAAGTATGCAACAAAAATTGCTGCACACAAGTGCGGGGTGTGCCATTGATGAGCACAATTAAAGTGTGTTTCGGCACATCAATAATTTCGATGTTGAAAACATTCAATTCATTTCCAGTAATTGTACCATAATTCGGTCACTGTTTCTATAAAGAATACTTTTTTCTTCAGAAACTATAAATGCTCCACAACTGGTTATTGGTGGTAGTTAACATTAGTGTGGGCTTGTTGATTTAGTAAGAAGTGAACCTGATGATGAAGCAGTCTAGACATGCAGTCAGGCCGTGGCAGCAAGTAGGAAGAGTCGTTCATCATCCTGCTCAGAGAGAAGCAAGTAAAGATGTGCATAAAAGTCAACTGTGCGTGGAGCCATTTGACTGCACGTGGTGACATTTTTTATTTCAAACTGCACATAATGAATATTGTGTCTCTTGGTTCAGTCGGTTTTGTGGTAGCCTTTTTGAATATCAGGGTGCTTGATAATATTAATGATTTATTTTTTAAAGATGCCCCTGCTGGTGGAGTGAAATATTAGATTCCTGGTATGGTTAAAAGATTAATCTTTTTTCCCCTATTTGCCGTAGCTTACAATAAGTTTAGCTGAGGAAACATCCATATGTCAGTGCAATGTGCTACTGAAAGATCCCTTGGTTATTGCTTGAGGAAAGATGACATTTATTTTCAAAGTTTATTTAGAAGCTAAAGAGAGAAAACACTATCTGTTTTAATTGACAGTAACACCTGCTTTGGTAGTATAAATGGGGTTTGGAACATGGTTTCACCTGCAGTGACTTCTGAGGAATTTGTGCTATTATGCTATTAAACAGTGCAGTGAGTGAATGCATAATATGGAACAGTAAAAAAGTGGTATAATACTGTACCTAGGTGATAAAAACCTTATACAATTGTAGTAAGTTATTAAAATACATTTGTGAATGTAAAATATAGGTATGAGGTAATAGAATCAACTTGTGCCAGACAAGAATCTGTTCTTGTAATTTACCCTTGTGAATATGGCTGAAGCAAGCGCAGTATGGCATTCATGATTAAGCAGTGTTATTTCAGAGTTTAAGGAATAGTGTCTGCATGATGTAATGTTGTCTGTTTTTGAACTTGATGTCAAAAAGCCCAGTTTGATCAGCCTGCTATCTTGTCTTTAACCAGAAAGATACGATTCTTCTCTCAGTCTGTCTCTCAGGTGCCTGTTGTTCTAGATATCTCGAGTGATGGATGACATTTCCTTGAACTCTACAGAACTGTGTGCTCAAGTACATCACGAGAACTTCATTCTTTAGAACAGACTAGTCTGTTATTGATCCAGTCTCTCGTTTAAGTCATCTGACCGAACCCTCCCACCCTGACTCTCAGAGCCTTTTGGGAACTCCCCTCTGTGGCCAATGTGATAATTATGATTGTCAGCTGTTTATGGCTATGGAAGTCAATTCCCACTTGACTCTGGTCCTCAGGGTGATTCTTGTTCAAGAATTGCACTTAGAAATCCAGTAGAAAAATAGGTCCCCTGCCTCTGACATTATAACTGTTGAGGTAAGTGGAGCACTTGGGTTGGTGTGATGATTGAAGAAGATTAGCAAAATAAATGTCTGCCAGAAGACCAAAATACACACTGTTCCAATGTTCTAAGTTGGTATGGCAAAAGTTCAGTATCCACATGTTTATCTGGCAAGATGACGATAATGATAGAGCAGTCAAGCTGCACTTTGGGCTTTATTTTACCCAGATTGGTGCACACATGTGCAAACATACACACGCACACATACACACGCGCGCGCGTGCAGAAAGAGAGAGAGAGAGAAAAGCAAGGTCCATAGGCCTAAAGGTCTATAGTGTTTGAACTTGTTGATTCTTTTCCTTATCTTCTTATGCTTGGAAAGGCCTGAACCATTTTATCTTAAGATATTAGGTATTTATTTCAAGGCATACACAGTGCGAAGGATGTGTTCATCACTAAGAAATGAACCTCAACGGTCAGAAAATGATAAAATTGTTTCCTGTTTGAACAGATGTATTATATGAGGAGTGAAATATATTTGAACTTTTATTTGATAAAGTAAAACTAAGATTAAAGGATTATTCATGCAAGACCAATCGTAAATGTCTTCAAGAATTGGCACTATGTGTAATGAATGCAGCAGCTGATTGTTGATATAGTCACATTATAGCTGATTGCTATATAGTATATGGTCTTAAATTGTTGTAAATATGTCCTTCTCAATGTTTATATAAAATGTTTATATTTTGCTAGTGCTTGTAGTCAGTTAGTGCTTACATATATACATATTGTACATTGATATTTCAAACATGATACTGCAGATTACAACCACTGTCACTTATCAATTAGTAGTGTATGTGATACTGTTAATGTTTTGATTTTTCTTTCCGTTTTTCTTTATTTTGTTGTAGATTTATGACATCGATGTGCATATAACTTCCAAGATAAATTGCAGTTATTTAAGAAATGACATTTTGATATGGCTTTGGAGAAGTAATTTCAAAGGAAAAGGAGTGATTGATGTGATTAAACCAGTGCAATGAAAATATCATAAAAAAAAGGGCATCATGAACTTAAAGTACGTCACTGTAGAGAACACGTGATCACAAATGATCGATAAAGAAGGCACTGCTTCAACTGTGAACTCTTCCCCTAAGCTTGCACGTAACAATTTTGTGTCTGGTTTAAAGCTGATGAAAAAGGTCAAAATAAGCTTAGGAGAGGGAAGAATATGTAATTTTTTCACCAGGTATTTGTTGATTAGATTACTTGAAATCAATTTTTTAAACTTATTGGATTATGAAATATAACCTAGAGTTATTTGGTTCATTTGAAAGCAACAATTAATTGTAAAAGGGGGTACTTTTTGCATAAAAGTAGGCCACATCTCCAAAAAATTATTGCTACTACAAAATGGTCTGGGTCCATCAGTATATTGGATTACGGAAACTCCATCTTCTTCCACAGACTTCATTCTGACACAATTTCTGGATAATTTAATGGACACATTGAGAAACAGATGTATTTTTATAAAACGTAACTTAATAGTATGTCAATTATTTTAATGGTTGATGCTTTTTTTTACCGTTTTATTACCACAACTATCACAACTGTATTGCTAAGTGTTAGGAGTTTTATTCAGAATAATGGGCTGTTTATTATTTTTCAACATTGTGTACATTTAGAATTTATAATATATTATATACTATTATATACCCTATCCTTTTAAAGATATCGAAATATGCTCTTGTTTTGCAATTATTGACAGCGTAATTATCTTGAAAGGATAGGAATGCTCTGGCTTAGTCCTGAAACTTCATCATGTAATATTGGTAATTATTATGGTGTACAAATATGACACTACAATCCAAGATGTAAATATATATGTGAATAAATCGTGCTATTGGGAAAGTTGCAAGTGTGAAATTGCCTTTAATGACAGACTTCAAAGAATAATTTATGAAGACGAACTTGAGCAGTGATGAAATATTTTTCTTTTTATTATATTTGGGATGTTTTTTCTTTCTAATAATTAACGAATGCAAAGAAATGTTATTTTCAAAAATCACTTTTTGTTGACTAATAGCAATATATAAGCAGACAAGGGCATTGTTTGATGGTCGAGTGAGTTTTTCTATTCATATGGACCGATTTTATAAGATTTCTACCAATATTTGACCTTAAACAGCGATATGACATTTTATGTGTTTTGTTAGTAATGTTCAAATCCTGTCATACGTTTTAGAAAACATTGACTGGCAGTTTTCAAAACAATGTATAAGGGGGCATAAAGCTGCCCTTTTATAATCTCAGTTAATAATCTAATGATAAACTGAGTCAATCAGCTTCTGTAGTGAAATATGTCAGTGAAATCTGTTCCATTAATTACATGTAATGTCAGTTGTCTTTTGTCTGGATGTGTCACATACATGAAATGTCATATGTCATCTTGGTGGTTAGCAGCACAACCATTCTTCTCTAACACATTGGCTTTTGGAAGTGAATTTGCAATTTGCTTATTTATCTATTCTTTGGTTCCTTTGTTCATAATTATAACAATAGAGTATTTTGTCAATAAACTATGTATTAAGTATTATGCAATGTTGTGTTTAGTTTTTAAAAAGTATTAAAAAGGTGATGAACAAGGATTAATTTAGGAGATGGATTCAGTTGATTCAGAAACAGTTATCGTTTCTTTCCTTTCTGAAAATTTGGAATTTTTATCAAAATTTTGGAAGAGATTTTTGAGATATTTTGTCCTCTAACAAATCTACAACCCAATGTATAAAAACAGCACTTTATGTTCTGTTGTTGGAGGAAATAATTATAAGCACAAACATTATGACACAGTGTATTATAACTTGAAAGGTGCACCCCTTGTCAAATTAGAAATTCTGAAGTAATAATACTTGCTAGGAGTATTTGATAGTAATTTTATATACTATTTTTGATAATTAAAATCCATTTGAATGGAATACAATAGAGACAATGACATTTGCCATATTTGATTGAAGTTAATGAAAAATTGATGCTCTATTAAGGCCAACTCGATTGATTTATGCCTTGTTTTACTATATAAAAAACACTACACAACCTTCATGACAAAACTTTAATTATATTCATTTTGATCTAAAACTTGACTCTTATAAAATTCCAAAAGTTTTATCTCTGGTTAGATCTTCCTTTCCAATATCAAAGTAATATTTAAACGTATGACAAATTAATGTGGCTATTGTAATTAACCTTTGACACATTTTTTTAAGTTAAGCACATATTGCATGTTAGTTGGTATTAGTTTAATTTCTGTGTTAGTTTTTATCTTATTTTAAATTATATTTATTGAAATTATAAGTTTAACTTGATTTTTGCCTCAATTCTTTTAAGTATGCAACAACACAAAATGTATAACAAACCTTTCACATTTAAAAATATTCCATGAACTTTGAAAAGTTACAAAAGGCACAGCCAAAATATTCCCTTGACAAAATAACAAAAACTCTGCATCAATGTGACATATTGAATATTTTAGGAAGTGCAGTTGGTCTTATTTATTCAACCAAATGGATGATGCTCGACATTAAGTGCATGTTTTTAATTTTTCATAAAGTTCAGTTCATGATATGGCATTTATTTGTGCAAAAACATTTGTTCTCCATGACAAAATAGGTCATGTTTGCTTTCTCTATATCCAGCTGACTTGGGGTCAATTGAGCATCGCTGAAGATCTTGCTTCCTTTAAATGAATCCGTTTTTCTTCCCTCATCTCATAAAAATTTGTTACTCAAAAATGCATCATTCTGATAATATTTACAAATCTAGGTAATCCTACATTATTGTGACAACTTCATATTTCATATGCTTTCAAAACGTATTAAATGCAAAAGCCCTGGTCCATCTGTAGGTATTGAATTGAGAAGTAATAAAAAAAAAAAAAAAAACACCTAGTTTTACACAATTGCAATGAACCTGCCTTAGCACCATGTTTGTAAAAAAAATGATCTTGGCAATTTGCCTTATACAGTATATGTAAAATAATAAACAATACTGAAAGCAGAAAAACTTAACATATGAAACTTTACAGTAAATGGCATCAAATGGACCACTTCTGTTAAAAATAATACATTTCAATACTGCTATCACACAATAATAAACTGCAGCATCTTGGTTGCATACTTTTTTCCTGTGAATTGCATACTTATCAAAGAATGACATCCATTTTCCCAATGAGAGCAATTCTGCTCAAAACCTTACCATTTCAGCATTATGAGATATGTTTAACCAACAATAAATATTAAAAAAATAAATAAAGCTGCAATAAATAAATAAATCTTATCTCAACCAGTACATTGCAAACTGAGCATTCTTAATTTAAACATTCGCAACTAATTTGGTACATGATAATACATTTATATGGTGCTACACATAAATCCTCTAACATAATTTCATTTTCAAAAAAAAAAAAAAAAAAAAAAATAGATTATAAATCAATTTCCAAAACCTGGAAATGCATTCCTCCAGCCTTTCTTTAAAAGATCAGAGAACTCCTGTACCAGTGGTTTGTATTTAGTAAAGTTGGCCATGTTATGATCCTCTAATGGGTCACTTTCTCTCAAATACAACTCCCTTGCATGGACGTCTGACCAGTTAGCTCTGGCATGGTGACCGTCAAAGCCCACCCACTCTGTATACCTGTATTTGTCAGTTCTCATGCTGTATCCCATAATTTTTATATCTGACACTCGTGGCTCATCGCTATTCTTTTGGGGAATGTCAGAAGGGCGAGGATACTGACTAAAAGTAGCATTTTTCCACTTTAGAGTGTATCTACTCGACACACCACTTTGCCTGATCCTAGTTAAATTTCTCATCAGGGGTGTCAAACTTGTTCCCTCTGTACAAAGAGGAATTAGGTGAACCCACGGGGATTTTGGGCAGAGAGGTGGAACCCGCAAACCAGCCAAATCAGAAACAGTTGGGAAAATGTCCACAAACTCAACTAACGCATCTATCTCATAACCAGTTCCATTCTTGCCTGCTACATACTCGTTTCCATTGAAAGTTCCAGGATTTCTGGAATGGTGCACATCCAAACTTTTTCTGCCTTTAAAATTGTTTTCAGCAAGTTGTGAAGTTAATCTTCTTAAGTTCATTTTCTTTAATACATCACCGTTTTGGATTTGTGAAAAAAGTGAAGCAGCTTTACTAGGACTTCTCCTGAATGTGTTTTGTGATTCCTGAGAACTTATCCCTAATAGTACATCAATGAAAGGGAACTTCTCTCCTTTATGTGAGTAAGGCACTGTCATATTTGGCACGTGGATCAAGAGTGGAGACTTAACTGCTACCTCAAAGTTACTGTACTTGGCCCACTCGCCATGTTCACCCAAAGACCAACCTGGATATAGTAAATAATTAAAAAATTAAAATTCAGTTGAAGCACACCCACTTTACCTTTTCTATTCAAAAATTAAATCCTCATTGTTATCATTGGTATTCCCAAAGTAGAATTTATAAGAAAAAATCATCCAACTAGTGAAAGAAAGCTAATAAAAGGTACAGTTTTAAATATGTTGCAATCCAAATTTTAGAAAAATCTTCGCTGAAAGAAAAATAAATCTTTTAATTATAAGCTAATAAAAATTCTATTAGAAAATCATAATATCTATAAAATAAATAAATAAATAAATATTTTACCATGATCTCCTAGTAGTATTATAATGGTATTGTGGGACAGATGATACATGTCTAAAGCATGTAAAACCTTCCCAACTTGGGCATCCATGTATGTGGTGGCAGCATAGTAGCTCTGACGAATCAGCATCTGAAAGGCAAATTTTTCAAAGTATTTTTCATCTTATAAGACCTATGCATTTTTATGCTAAACATAATATCATCTATTTTATCATTAGCAACAGTTGTAGGGTGAGTATGATAAATATGCATTTAAACAAGTTTCATAATGATCTTCATTATGTATATAAGAAAATCACAAATGCATTATTCGAATTTCATTGTGCACTTTTACCTTCATAATTCATTTTCATACTCACAATTATTTTTAAATAATGTACATGTAAAAGCATTATCAATTTTCCTTTCCCAGCTATTAAAATGCTGGAAGCAAGTGCTGAAAATAAGTCATTTCATACTTGGAAATCTTTTGGTATGGGACCATATGGAAAGCTGAGGTTGAGAGCCTTTACATCATCCCTTTTCCTGAGGTCTGTCCATGGGTTCCAGGCATCTGAAGGAAGACCCGATGGGATGGAAGGGTCCGGGGCAAGACTTACGTTGGACAAAGGGTACAGTTCTGAAAGAGACATCATTAGGTGTAAAAATGTACAATAAAAGATACACAGACAATCATACCAGCTAGTTGCTGTTACAGTTGTAACACACTGTTCTTAATCCTTGTATGCCAATTTCCCCCAAAACCAGGCCTACCCAACTACCAGACGTGGCACCTACGGATCCTGAATAAACTGGTATATCAGACCACACTCCCGTTTTCAAGGTGTGAGTCAGATCGCATTACAGAGTATCATACCCCATCACCAATTTTGTAGGCCTTCCTGTCATCCGGGTATCGCGCCTTGTTTTCATCAAGTAGGAGTCGTATGAATACAACAACATGGCGACAGATGACTCCCTCAATCTCATCCATCCCGCTAGCCATGAAAATATTTAACCTTCGACAGAATATGCTTCCGCTATCAAAATTAGGTCTACTTTTCTAAATTAATATATATGTTTGCAAGTTCTTATTTACAAAACATCATTGGCTATGTTCGAACCTAAATTTTATGTTAAAAATTGCGGTATTGTCAGATTTTTAGCATAAACAGGGAAAATTGCAGCAGCGCATGAATCTAGATGAGATGCACTACTTGCCAACCCCGCTTAGGATCATCGCTATCACATCGCGCGCCAGGCAAAATGGGTGAAGTGGCTGATACTCCGTAATGCGATCTGACACACACCTTGAAAACGGGTAGTGTGGTCTGATATACCGGTTTATTCAGGATACGTAGGTGCCGCGTCTGGTAGTTGGGTAGGCCTGAAAACAGCACAAGGAGAACAGAGCCATGATGTAGTACAAAATTTTGGTTTGTGTCTTATATTTAAGTTGTTGATAGAGAGAGATGGTGAAAAGTAAATACCATTTAATACTTACTCATTAATACTTACTCAAATATTCCTTAGGAAACTTGAAGGGTATATGTGGTTTATGAAAGCCCACAGCCAAAAAGAAAGGCTTATGCAATGTTTCAGTGATGTTCTTGATAAAAGACTTAACATAGTTCGCTGTCTGGATATCAGGTAGCGTCCACTCTGGTTGAGTGGAGACATCTACAGGACAAATGAGATTCATGCCCTTCGTGCCATTTGGACCAGGACATACCTAAAGTATATCAAAATAAGTGTACAATACAGTGCATGGAAGTACTTTATTATAAGAAAAAGTCCACTTGCAGAAAGTAAACTCTGTCCCTTGGAGCAGAAGACAAAAGTTAGTTCTCCTCAAAGTTCTTTGTCTCTGGCTACAACTGCTCTTAATTAATCATATATTTTATTTATTTATTTATTTATTTATTTATTTATTTATTTATTGTCAAATCAGTTACACAAAAGTGTTGTAAAACCAAATCTTAGACAAAATAATGTAAGTGGTACAGTGACTATACAGGATAACACTCCCATACCTTCTCCATCCTGTATTTAATTGTTGATGGGTGGTAGGGAGGGAGGGTCCAACTGTGGGGGTAATCATCATCCCCACCCGATGATGCACCTGTAAACAAAACAAATAACATGATAAACATTGAAAGAGTAAGCATTTATCAACAAAATAAACAGTCATTTGTTCTTACATGTATGTGTTAATTTACAAAATTCCCACCAGATTGCAATTTTCTTAAAATAAAAATGAAAAAGGTATTTGTTTATAACATTTTAATTAAATAACACTGAAAAGGGTACAATTTTTTACTGCAATACGGTAACGATTAACACTCATTTAGGTGAAAATTTTCATTTCAATTATAATTTATTACTTTGATCCAATATTTAACACTGCATTATCCATGTATCATCCATATCTTTTATTTTATCAGTTAACTAGTTATATTCATCAAATAAAAAGTCAAAAATAAAAATCACACCAGGATGAAAAACTTTTCCAGCAGACACAGATATATAACCATTGTTCTTGAAATGTTGTGGAAGAGTGACAAAGTTTCCAGATGTTTTGCGCCAGTATGAGTGAGAGTCGTACACCCTGAGCGTATCTGGTCTGCGACTTGTCAGGAAGGAATTTCTGCTTGGTCCACAAAGGGCTTGCTGAAAATGACAAAAATAAATCAAGCCATGAGATTTTTTCAATAATTGACTGGAAATAATATATTTATGTTACTCTTATCACTTATTCTTTTGTGTATTATATTACTTAAAATGCTGCAAAATTATCACCTGAAGATCAAATGTCTTTTTCAAAACAGACAAAGGCTTGTTTCTCACTAGGGCAATTCCAATGGCTTTATATCTAGCTGTAAAATATTTTTCATAAAATATTTGTTGAAAAATACTAGCATAACACACAAGTACATAATAAACAATTTTTCAGCATGACATACACACACTAACATATGTAGCTGCACGTACTGTACATCAACATTACCTGCACAAATGCATTGTTGAACTTAAATGACTGTCTTGCCAAGTTGTCAATGTTTGGTGTGTGGACCTCCTTGTTTCCATAGCAACCCAATGCAGGCCGTAGGTCATCCACGACCAAGAAGAGGACATTTGGTCCAGTTGACCTCACTGGTTGCATAGAGTCAGCAATGCCATTTAACCAGATATCTAAATGTAAATTTAGATTTTAGTCATTTAAATGATTATCAAAAAATAAATTATAAATAAAATAAAATAAACACACAAATAATGATGTTAATAAAGGAGGAATACTATTACTTGTATATTTTTCTTCAATATACAGCTTAACATATCTGTATACAAATTTCAAGTCTCAAGCTCAATAAGAAAATAAAAATCATGTATGCACCCAAATTCTACCCATAAAGAAAACTGTGTCCTAGCAAAAAGACTTTGTGTCCCTCAAAAAAGACTTCATCCACCACCTAGTTTAAAACAGTCTGCAAATTATAGTGATTTTTATTTCAAAATTTAAATTTGAATTTACTCACAAAATGTAAACATTGAGCAGCAAATGGTGCGGATTCGTATTTTACCATCCTCCATGTCAAGTGACAGTTAGGAAATATGTTCTGGGTGAATGTCTCATCTTCATTTCTTATATAACAATTCAAAGTCCTTTTAGATGTAGGGTAAGAAAGTACTGATAAAATAACCACGGTCATTGCAAGCAGTCATTTCATGCTTGTTCAGATGAAACTAGGTCGACATCTAGGTCAAGGTCTCCAAACGTTGCCCAGGGGATGTAAATAGAAAAACATTTTTCATTGGTTAGTCTACATTACTTATCCAATCAGCAGGGTCGATACAAAATATACTTGACATCACCTCAGCCATTTTGGAAATTGGAAGCTGTTTATTTCTTCAAGGTGGGTGAAATTCGGAAGTTTAAAAAATATTAATAATGTGTTAAGAGTTCTGATTATCCCATTTTACCTGATTCATCACGTTTAAATATTGAACCGTCGTTCCAACTTGAGAGGTTGTACTTCAGTAGCATGAATGGTCTGGTCTAGTAAGTTCCATTATCCAAATACATTTTACACTCCGAGTCCGTGCATATGTTATAATCTTATCAAATGAATAATAAATCTTAAATTATGTCTATCAATTTTCATTATTAACTCCGAAGCAATCTTGCAGTCGCATCATTTAAAAGTTGAAGGTAGTAGAATTTAATTTATATTCAGGTTAGCTAGGTCGCAAAACAGGCAGTCAATAAAGTGTTTTTCCAGGACGAAACGTGGGATGTTTTTCTGTCAAGATATGCCTCCATTTACTGCGTATCGTCACTAATAGAATATCAAAATTTAGATATAACATTTATTTACCACATTTTAGATACTTCCTCACTTTGATCCTGTGTGTGGAAAAGGGAATAGTGTCAGAAAAGCAGACAACTTTTTGATTTTGAAAAGATGATTTTTAATTCATGCAAAATTGCAGTTGATACTGTTACCAGTATCAGCAAAATGCTTATGAATTTTTTAATCACACACACACACACACACACACACACACACACACACACACACACACACACACACACACCATTTGCCACATAATATTGATTTTGTTTTAATTCACATCTCAACTTTCTATTCCAGGTAAGGAAAATTTGTAACAATGGCTGGCATAGAAAAAATGATGGAGAACCACTTGCTACAGGCTACCCAGGCCATTGAAGACCAATTAGATAATGAAATCAACAAGCTTGACCGTATGGATCAAGATGAGATGGAACAGCTGAGAGAAAAACGCCTTCAAGCTTTGAAAAAACAAGCAGCACAAAAAGAAGAGTGGATAGCTCAGGGTCATGGGAAATACTTTGAAGTCCCAGATGAAAAGGCTTTCTTTGATGAATGCAAAAAGAGCAAGAATGTGGTTTGTCACTTCTACAGAGACAGTACTTTCAGGTGCAAAATAGTAGACAAACATTTAGAGATCCTGGCAGCTAAGCATATAGAGACAAAATTCATCAAAATTGATGCTGAAAAATGTAAATTTTTAGTTGAACGTCTTCGTATTGTAGTCATTCCAACCATCTGTCTGGCAAAAGATGGAAAGACTGTTGATTATGTTGTTGGTTTTGACGATCTCGGTGGAACTGATGAGTTTTCCACAGAGGTGTTAGAGTGGCGCATCGCCAGGGCAGACGTCATTAATTATAGTGGCGACTTGCTCCACCCACCTGGCTCTGAGGACAGAAAGAAAGGGAGAAGTGTACTTGGCATGGATAGAAAGAAGAATTTAAGAGGAAGAAATGATGATGATGATATGAGTGATGATGATGATGACTGGTAGACCGAACTCTGATATTGACATTAGATAAAATACCCACTGTTGAGGTAGATAGCCTTCAAAGACTTAGTGGCTGAAAGTGATTTCGGGTGAAGAAAACAAATAATTATAGATCTGGAAAGTTTATTAAGCTTGACTACCAAAAATTGAGTTAGAGTGAACATAAATCTGCTGCACAATATTTATTTATTTATTTATTTATTTATTTATTTATTATTATTATTATTATTTTTTTTTTGGATGAATTGTGTTTAGTCTATGATGAGACAGTTGGATTCCAGTCACTTATCTTTTAAACCGCTGTTTATTCTTCTGGTTGCCTTCCAAGAACTGATAATGATGTGTTCTCTCATTATCTATGTGATAAAGTGGGTTATGATGTTCAACATGACTGGAGGTCAAATTGAATTTTCTTGGTTTGTACATGCGAATAGAATTTGAAGCATATCATCTCAAGGATGTGAATGTTCAGGGGATAACATGAATGTGGGAATTTTATTCTAACTTTATCTATTTATTTATTTATTTGTTGAAAGCATTGTTGATATGTCATTTAAAAGTTTTTCTTTTTTGCTGGGTTGAAAGGTATTAAGATTATAAAAAAAACTCACGTAATCATGTCACTGTTTAATTTATTGTTCTCTTGATATCTTGATTTAGAGCATATACAATATATTGGATATACTACAATGCTGTGAAGACATGATTACCAGTATGATCCAGTGTATGGTTTTCATATATAACTTATCTCTGTATAAAAATGTAGCAATGTTTTACACAGATATGCTGTCCTTTTGTAAACACTGCACCAATACTTAACTGTATATACCCCTTCCCAAGTGCCACACTAGTTAGCTGAAGTCTTGAATACATTAAGTAAAAACCCATAATGTGTATAACTGCTCATGACTGTTTTATTGGTACTTTATAATATATGTATCTATGTATGTATTATATATTTTATCATATTATCTTGACTAAAAGAATATTTGTTTTGACAATTTTTTTTATGCTTTTATTAAAGCATATTGTAGGTTTTCAATGTAGTTAAAAGAAGTACTGGTTTGAAGGATTTTATTAGTTTTTTCAAAACTGTAATGAGATAAAAGCTTTTCAATTGAGGTATGCAAACAATTTGTTACTTTTCTCTGTTTTTTCCACTTTGTACTATGTGTGCTTATTAAACAGAATGCATTGAAATAATTATGCATTTGTTTTCTACCTGGAATATATATTTTCCACCTGTAGCAAACCACTTTTCTACCTTCTCACCCCATTTCACTAAAAATCTAACCATAACCTTTTAAAACTTTTTTCAATGAAAGAACCATCCAGTTTGTTTCTAGGAAAAAACCTTTTAAGTAGAATATTTTATACAATAATTATTTTATTGTCAGTAATCCCTGTAAAGTTTTGATGTACAATCTCCAATGGCTTATGACAGAGAGTCATTACATCAATTTTGTACAGTCACCATGTCTTTGGAGAACAAGATACCTTACAGAGAACTGAAGCAATCAACTTAGGTTGGCATGTGCCGTAGTGTCCTTCTGATTCCAGAGAAATAAATGGTGCAGCCTGTTTTAGAAAAAAAAAAAAGCTGGATGTGTATGTGTGCAATCTTCCAAAAGGACATAATTTTAGAAAAAATATCTGCATTTATGTCTGATGATGCACATAGTTTGCACGTGCTGTTTAAAATTGCCAAATTTAGGAGCATAAGACCAGATAGGCTGGGCTTAAAAATCAGTAATTCCACCCTTTTGAATGTTATATAAATTCAAATTCAGTAGTTTGACTAGTTGTGTTAGGATATAAGCCTACCATAAATGTAATATTGGTAAGTAGAGCAGCTGGTCCATTTATAGAGCTCAGTCTTCACTTAGTGGCTATTTCAGTCCTCTCTATCTCACTTTTGCCCTTCCCCCCCCCCCCCAAAAAAAAAAAAATGAAAAAAAAAAATAATAATAATAAAATGAAACATAAATATTGAATCAGTTTGATACTGGTGAAAACAGAAAAAGTTAATAGCATCACATTATTCGGCCTAAAATAAGAGGATGAGTTATCGAAACCAGTGTTTTCCATTATCTATTTTTGCTTGCATTCTGGAATATCTGTTTAACAGATGTGCTGGAGGACAGATACCAGTGTATTAGCAGCATCATTATGGACCGGGTTATTCATTTTGCATATTATTTTTAATTATTATATATTTAAGTGTAAGTGTGAATATTGAAACCTCATTAATTATTTATTTATTTATTACTTTCTTATCATTTATATATGTGGTTTGCGCTTGTATCTTGCAGCTGATAGCACTTTTTAAATACCGCACGTGCTGGAGCAGTGGATGCTGGGTAATTTGAAGTCCCGCGAACCCTCGACGCATGCGTTTTCAGCGTTTATCTACACAAGATGGCGGGAAGTGCTAGAAGTGCGTGGCAAGATATCTCTCGTTTTATGTAGTTCTCCTCTATATACAACATTTTTAGCCAACTTTTATGTAGCCCAGAAACGTAAGGTAGGTTGTATTATTTTGCATTTTTGCTTTCAGGGGCGCAAAAATGTGTTAATAGGGGCGAGACGGGGTGCATTTTGTGACCTCATTTTCCCAAATTCCGATGTGGATGTCATGGTCACTGAAATCAGCAACTGCACAACCTGTTGCTGAAATTAACAACGAGAAACAGCAGTCTTGTTAATTGCACGGGGTGCAAGTTAACATCGTGAATTAACGTTTCTTGATGTTTTTGCTTTAAAAATTGTAAATTTGGTAAGAATAATTGGTTTCAAAACTGGATTTCTAGGTTTTTACTAGTGTTGCCTCGTGGATTGCATCGCCGAGGACACTTTTTTTTTGTGCGTAACATTTGCTGATTACTTTATTATGTCAATCTTGTTATTTTCTTATAACTGGGGGTATTTCATGTATATCATATTACGGTGTTTGTAAGAAAAAATTTAATCCAACCTTATTTTCTTGGACTTGTGCCTTGTGTATGCTGTGGTTTATGCATCTTTTGACACGCTGCTAACACCCCTTTAATTACAGTGTTATATACTACCCAGTTTAAAATAATGAGTGAAATTGCCATTTTAACATTTGTCTATGGTCAAAAAGCGATTTTGATTCCAATCAACAAAATAAACATCAGTTCAAAATAAAAATAGCTGCCACTTTTAAAGAAGGATGTGGCTGTGTGGGGGATTCCCGGAATTCAGGGATTTTTTTCGGAATAAATCATATCTCTGTTATGACAACAAGCCTATAAATAAAACTCTGCAATGACTGGATTTTACCAGACTAGGTTATAATTGAAAGGCTTTATTCCTCTTACTGGATTTTCAGACAAACCAGCAAGCCTTCACCATTGTAACCTACTTTCAACTAGTGAAGTTTTCATTTTAGCTTCCTGGTCTGAGAAGTTTAATATAAGTCACAGTACAATATACAAAGATATATTTGTTCAGCTTCTGTTATCGAACAGAATTTTATCTGGTTCATGCTACATTAATCAATATCAAAATAACCTATTGACCTGGATTGGCTGATTCTTAGTTCAAGAATGGGGCGTTGCATGTGTACATAGTGGTAGCAGCAATGGAAACCGATCTATTAAAAATTTTCATATTACTCATGTAAATCTAGAAATGTCTTAAGGGGAAAAATATTTTGTCATTGTACAAGTTGGCTGTAAAGGTTACAAAAGTACTGGCTCATTGATGTTTATAAAAGGAATAATCCACATGTGCTGTTTGCATCTTTGACAAAAAAAAATCATTTTGTACATTGATTTGTTGTAGACTTTAGACTGAGGCGTTCCAACAAATGAAAATATTAGAACCACATGCAATTTGTCTTGGTCAGTAATAATTGCTGTATATGTAGATGAAATAATATTTCTCGATTATAGTATTTTGTAACAGGGGAGAAAAATTGAGTTTTAAAGGTTCTTCTATATTATTTATATATAAATCAACTTGTGGAATCAAGTTCCCTAAACCTTGTAAGCGTAAAGTAGAACTTGGACATTTTGAATAATTGGAAAATATGTGACCTGCCAGTGCATTATACAAATAGGAGTGAATTTGTCATAGAATTTGCTTTTGAGTAAATGATGCCACATGATATCCATAGTATTATTATTGTTAACTTACATGAAATATATTCAGGTGCAAATATTTTCAAATGATTTATAGTGAGATGTGGTAATGGATATTATAAAGGGATTCTGTTAATGTTTTTTCAAGTCTCACATGGAGACAGGATCCACAGAATGGAAAATATTTATTTGTTATGATGGTAAATGGCCTCGATGAATAGCTTGCAAAGTGCATCCATACAAGTAAATGTATTTGAAAAAAATGGTTAAAATGAAGTAATTTTATTTGCTTTTAATCTGGTTTATGTTTGTCATATTGCTTTTACCTTGAAAGTTTATCTAGAGAAAAATCTACACCCTCGCTGTGTCACAAGTTTACTAAGCTTGTGATTCATAACCCTTTTTGAGCCAGTAAGCTTTAGTCCGTATGTTCAGTCATATGTTAAGTTACTTAACAATCATGTGAGCGTAGATAAAAGTTAAGGCTGACAAACATAATGTAATTGACAGACTTGTCTCATCTTGTGTAGTAATTTTGTGAGAAAGAGACGGAGGGTTTTGTGTCTTTGAAGGTCATAATTTTAGTGCATTGTGACTAATTTCAGGTCAAACATGACCTCGATTTGAATTAGAGTGAGGTTGTTGTAGTGAAGCACTTACCACAAAATGAAGACGCTTGGTATTAGTCAGTAGAATTTGCATTTCTAATGCATCTTTGATTACAGTATGAGCTTTATCTTCAACCCACAATCCAAATCTGCATGCTTTGATGGTAACATTTATTCAGAGTTGGTCTTAGCCCTCTGTATTGTCAGGCACTGGGAAAAAACAGGCTTTATCACCAATGAACTTTACATATGAGGTTACTTGCGTTAATGACCTAAGGGCCAAACTTTTGGAATGTGATTTAATCAGTGTAGACAAGTTTTAACTGCCAGTATAAACTACAGGCCGTATAAACAGATACGGCGTTTACTAACACTACCCTCAGATTTTTTAGCACTTACGCCCATATTAATCACAAAACCCAATAATAAACATACATTACAAGTATTTAACACCAACAAAGGTATACCTAGCACTAACATTCATCCCTTCTGGTAGTGCTTGTTAATTTGTGGGTTATCAGTGCTTGACACTAACTTTTTTCGATACTGGNTCCAGCCCACAAAACTTTTGCCGGCATATGGCCGTGGTCCGACGGCTTTCGCAATCACTGTACTGGCACGAGATACCGGTAAATATTGCAAGGATGATTTGACACAAAACATTTTACTTGCTCTTTGGGCCAGTGACCCCATCGATTCAATGGCCCTAGGTTGGTTTTCAGTGGGCCACTCTTAATTAATGTCAAGCCCTGGTTATGTGGTTAATATGGGTGTTAGCGTTAAAAGATTTGCAGGTAGTGTTAGTAAACGTCTAATCGAATTATAAGGCCTGTTCTAAATAATGCAAGTCTTGCCTTGGAGTATAATACCTCTGCTCGTATGTATTGTTGAGGTATGAATCTTTCATAGATTTTACATATTTCCCCTTTAAACTATTAAAGATAGGGGTCTTTTAGGAACAACTGTTTAAAAATGGAGTTCTGTGTTATGCGAAAGTTCAACAAGAACCAAGAAATGAACATTTGGAATCCTTATTAGATTTGTTATAGAAGAAAGCAATTAAGCTTGCTCCACTTTGCCATATGTAGGTTTTTTTTTTTTCCTTCATGAAGAACCATTAGTAGTGAAAATGAAAGATGTGCTTGTTGTTGCCAAAGCACATAATGACTGACTTTATTGTAACAACATGATATGTCATATACAAAAGTACTTCAGCTACACTGTAATTATTAGAAAAAAAAATAAAATAATTTTCTGCCTTGTTTTTAATCGCCGAAGTTGGTCTTTGTTATAAACCCTGGGCAGCGTTTTTCATACTGGTTAAATGTGAGAGAAAGAGAGAGACCAAGACGAATAATTGTATCAGTGGGGGTCACCTTAGGCTGCCTGCATACATATACAGTCACTGTGCAAGACTAGTTGTATTGATTTTGTTGTGAAGGCTGTGAGTAGCTTATCAAGCATACATTACTATCTCTGTCTCTCCCCGTCTTATTGGTGTTTGGACTATTGCTGATGATATCAAATCTGAGCCTCTCATGGATACTGTTTAGTGTCATTGTTCATAGGTAGGTCATACGTCTGTTATCAGATTGTAAAACTGATATGATGTGATATTTTTACCTCTAGTTGCTGATGAGATGATGGTTATTGTATTCCAGTGAATGATCTCGGTATAATGATTAGGTCTGGAGTATTTAAGACTATTTGTCATGGTTATTACATGGTCTAAACTAAGGGCAATTCATCTCTTGTTTTCCAGATAATATTTAATAGTCGAGTGTGACTCAACAAGCAAGATGTCTGACCACGAAGAACTAGAAGGGTGCCCTACTGAAGAAGAAGAAGAAGAGCACTCGGGGTCAGCATCTCCGGTCTCCGTAGAGTCGGTCAACGAAGAATATTTATGCACCCTCTGCGAAGAGAAGTTTAACCAGCCCAGACTGCTGTCATGTCTGCACACGTTCTGTTTGCCGTGCCTGGAGAAACTGACCAAGGATCCGGAGACCGACGCGCCCTTGGAGGCCATCACTTGCCCATTGTGCAAACAGGAGACCAAAATCCCAGCCAAGGGTTGCGAGGAACTGAGCCAGGACCTGGTGATGGTCAACCTACTGGACATGTCGGCCATTGAGAACATGCAAATCGTCTGCACCAGTTGCAAGGCCAAGGAGAAGGCAGTTGCTCGTTGCAGCGATTGTGCCAATTTTCTCTGTCCAAACTGTGTCACTGCCCACCAGTACATGAGATGTTTTGAGAATCACAAGGTAGATTTTACTTCTGTTCTTCTTAAATTTCCATTTTTGGGTTATTGTTGGACAACATCACAGTTCGAAAAATTGATAATAGCTTTAGCAAATGGATAAATTTATTTCAGGGTTTTCAATGATGAAGCCTAAAAGCTCGCTGCTGTTGTCCCTGTGATCAATATTTTTTGATTAATGTGATAATTTCCAATTCCCTCCCAAGTTAAATTAGTGCCATTTAATTTGTGATATTGGAAAGTGACAATCAAAATCGGCCTGTGTTTAAGTGTAAGGCTTGCTTAGTGCAGGATTTCTCATAACAGTTCGTTAGCAGTTCTCTAGTTGTCCTGAAAATAGACAGAAGATAATAGATTATCCACAGCTGGCTTGATGATAAATGTACAGGAGATAATTGATGAACAAAAGGAATGAGAGTAATTTATCTCTGTTTCTCATCAGACATACAGAAACCCATGCTGTAGCCAAATGTTCAACCGTCTTGAGTGCCTATAGATCTTGTTAGAAAATCTCTGTTTCTAGTGTGTTGTTGTTGCCATGGCATATGGCAATAACTTATTTTTCCTTACCTTAATGATTGTTCTTGTAATAAGCCTCATTTTCATCAAAATGTATGTAATTGAATTCCTTAAGAAGCATTCATACAGATTTGTCTGGAAAAACAAGATAATGGGCCCTGTCATTTAAGATGGAATTAGAAAGTATGCTATTGTGTATGAAACAATGTTTTCTACATTGTGAACATTGAAAAATAACACTGTTCAGATGAAGGAAAAAAATTCTCCACTGTGTGCTCCAAAGTGAAATTGTTTACGTTCATATTATTACCATGGAAAGGTGTAAGATCATTTGTATGAAAGGAAAGCTGATATTATTTCCATGGAAAGGTGTAAGATCATTCATATGAAAGGAAAGCTGATTGCAGTGTGATAGGTCATCAATATTCAGTTGCATTGTATAACAGTTAAGATTTTTTACACGTTTAATTAGTGTATTATATTGTCTTTGAAATGTTAGTAATTAAACAGAGATGAGATTGATTATATGATGATTCTGACAGTTTTTTTCCCAGTAACCTCCAGATTTTAATAAGTATAAAGTAATGCCAAAGGTAGTTTTGTTGGACACACTTATTTTCATGATTACATATATATTTCCAGGTGGTTTCATTTGAAGATATTCAAAGTGGTGAAGAGGGGCCTGTGATTCATAAGCCATTGTTCTGTGAAATACATCCAGTGGAAGGAATGAAGTACTTCTGTAATACTTGCCAGGTAGGTAATGAGATTTTTTATGTACAGACACAGATGTGTCTGTACATATTGCCATCACCTGCGTCTGTCGTCGCCGTCGCCGATGGCGATGGCGATGCCGATGGCGATGGCGATGCCGGCGCCGTGCACTTTCCTTGTAAACACGATAAGTGGAGGGCAGTTTTATTTTTTGGCTTTATATTTACAGAGCTGATGAATATTCATAAAACGCAGGTCAAGTTCGAAAATCAGCATGATCGGGCCATTATTGTAGAAGTTATGCTGTTTTTTCACTTTTCAGCATATTTTTCACATTTCCTCAGATTCAATTCTTAGGCATGTTAACAGTCTCATTATTAAACTAATAAGATACGTAAAAGTTTTTGTTTGACATTTCCTGCATCTTTACAACATTGTTAGTTGATTTTGTAAAAATGATGGTAAACTTGTTATCGTGTATTGTGTAATAAAGTGTCAAAAATGGAAATAAACTCATATCATTGCAGTTTGTCAGATTCAATCATTCACTATGTTCAGAATCTCAGAATGGAAGAAATTGGACATTTAACACTGCTCTATTGATATTTTTCCCATCTCATCAATTTTCTTAGTTGATCATATAAAAATGGCAGTAAACTGTTAATTTTGTTTTATGTTAAAAATTGTTAAAAATGGAAAAAAAAAAAAACTTCAGAACAGTGCTGTCTTGTTTACATTTTGGCATTTTCAAGTTGTGACTTTTAAATTCCATGGGCCTGAAGACCTTTGCTAGTCACATTTTCTGAATATCCATGATACTAATATTTTATTATTAAAAATTGATGGTCATCATGCTGTTAAACATTATGTAATATTGCATCAAAATTTAAAAAAAAAACTATTTTGGGCACTGCTCCCATGATGACCATTTAAGAAAAACCATGTCACTTACTGTTCTCAAACAGTACAGTAAATATATATAGATGTGTCTGTACATATTGCCATCACCTGCGTCTGTTGTCCCCATCATCGTCGTCGCTGGCGCCGTGCACTTTCATTGTAAACACGATAAGTAGAAGGCAGTTTTACTTTTTGGCTTTATATTTACACAGCTGATGAATATTCATAAAACGCAGGTCAAGTTCGAAAATCAGCATGATCGGGCCATTATTGTAGAAGTTATGCTGTTTTTATGTACAGACACAGATGTGTCTGTACATATTGCCATCACCTGCGTCTGTCGTCGCCGATGCCGATGCCGATGCCGTCGCCGGCGCCGTGCACTTTCCTTGTTTTTTTTTTTTTTTCCTAGGCACTCCTGTGTGTGATTTCAGTAACATTCCCAATATAGTTTTGGTTTTGTTGTTCATTGCTCTTTGTCAATTAATAAAAAAAAATGAGAAATACTTTGATCAGTGAATTCCGATTGAAAACATTCGCTTAACTTGCATTTTATAGTGTCATACTTGAGCATTTGAACTTTGAACGAGTTATATAAAAGATTTTATAGAAAGGCAAGTAAAAAAAAATTACAGAAAAATCAATGTAGACAACCTTCAGTCTGCATCTGTGCTGGGGAAAGTATTGATTCAAAGTTGATGCAATGGAATGTCAGAGACGTGATTTAAGACCTTAAGACCCTGTCTGACATTGCGTATGTTTTTTTTTTTTTTTCAGACTCCCATCTGTAATGAATGCATGGTGACCAATCAACACCAGGGACATCAGATTGACAGAATCGGGAACGGTGATGAGAAACATTCTGAAGAATTGAAAAATCTGATGTCAGAATGCAAAGGAAAGGTCAGTATTTGTGAGCTTGATTTTAAAGTAAATAAATTACAAATAATAACCTTGATTTTCAGCTTGTTGGAGATCATTTGCCACCAGTGTGGAAAAAAATGAAAAAGTTCTGAGCAAGCAGTCGAGATAAGTATGAGATGGTGTTTATTTAGCTGGTCTAAGGGGAAAATTGTTAAATGGAGAGTTATGGTTTAGTGAGAGCAGCACGTGCCAATTTAGAAAGAACATATACTTAATTTGCCATTATGTTGTTTAAGGTTTCATTCTGTGAGGAGGCTTCTGCCAGTTTGGAAAACCACTTGTCTGATCTTCAGAATGCCAGGGACAATGCGAGAGACCTGGTGAAGGAGACATTCCAGAGTTACAAGGCCATTCTAGAGAAGAGACAGGTATTTGAGATCAAAATTTATAAGAACCTATTTTAACATTTTGTTAGAGGACAATGAACCATCAATTTATGTACTTGTTAATCAGATAGAAAGATAAATGGTTTAATTTCACTAATTGCCTTTTTTTACGTTACAGGAGAGTTTGTTGGAAGAAGTGGAAAAGTTGCACAAGTCTCAAGAGCTGAAAGTCATGGATGTGTTTCACAATGTAGAGAAGACCATTGAGAAGATTGATGATGGCTGCAAGTTCACAGAGAGAGTCCTGAAATATGGCAACACAATTGAGATCCTGTGTATGAAGAGACAGATTACATCTCAGTTGCTGTCTTTGATCAACAACACTCCCAACCCTGACATCAGCGTGAAGATTGAATTTGAGACTGATGCAGAGAAATTTGAGCAAGCTGTGAAGGAACACTTTGGGCATTTGAAGGAAGACCAGCCTGCACCAGCTGCGGTAAGTATGCCTTTGTGAAAGAAAATCCTCTCAGTGGAAGAAAGCTTAGTGGAATTGAAGGTGGTCAAATTATTAAAGCACATATAATGTCTGAATAAATGGTCTCATTAAATTGATTCTATATTTTATTGCAGGAAATGACAATTTTCAATAATTAAATTTTTCTTCTTTTGTGTTCAGACTCAGCATCAGCAGTCTCCTACATCTCACCAGTCTTCATTTGAGAACGAAGGCTTCATGTTGCCACCAGGTGTCCTCAGCCCAGAGAATCCTGGGATACCCCCAGTGACTCCACATTCAGAGTACAGCACGTCATCCTTTGGACTGTCCAGTGTTTCCTTGGCTGCGTCCATCTCCAGCATGAGTTCAATGCAATCCATGCCTAGCACATCACTGTCGGAGCGCAGCATTTCTCGCAACTCCCAGAGCCCAGCCATGTCTGACAGCGGAGTGTCTGTGGACACTGGCAGCAGCGGCAGTGGAAGCAACACTCCACTCATAAATCTTGCCGCACTGGCCAAGTTGGGCACTGTTAGTGTCAATAACTTAGGTGGGTTGATAGATTTTTTGTACGGTAAACATTTGAAGACAATTTGTTTGGCAAAAATTTATCATAAAGAGTATGCTTGGTGATTTAAAGTATACATTTGTTATTAACAGTTTTTATGAAACCCTGAATGACAGGCTTCTTTTTCCCTTTCACTGTTTTTTTTATGCCTAAGTAATTTGTGTGTATATCTTCTCAGGTCAAATTACCCTGAATGGTCAAGTGGTTCCTGGCCTCAACGTGAACAACGTGACTGGACTTCCTGGTCACTCAGCTGTGGGACTGGCCGCCAGGGGGACTTCACAGATTGGACAAGGAGACACTGGTGAGAGATACCATTGAACTTTATTTTGATTGGCATGTTTTCAAGGCCCTTTTCTCAAAAATGTTTTTTACTGAGACATATTTTTAGTAATTTGTGTTAATTTTTTTTCAACTGGTCATCAGTATTGGAAAACCTGATTTAGTATTACAAAGATTTGTTGGTGGGAAATGTTGAAAACTATGTCATTGTAATAGATAAGGGTACTTCTTTGATCTTGATTTTGTTGGTTGCTTCTTTGTTGTCTTGTTATTTCAATGTTTTACTTACATGTTATTGTTTGGAAACCCAAGTCACATTTGTTACATTGGGTTCTACCTCTAACCAATATTCAAGTTTGATGATACCCTCATGCTTAAAATATTAAAGGGTGCTTTTAACCTGAAATATTGGTACATTTTCTTGCAAGTTTTCCTGTGTTACCAAACAGGATGCTCAAATACAAGGACATTTAAGCATTCTGAAAACTAGTGTTATCATATAATTGTAAAAGTTTTTTGTGGCTTTGTTTGTTGCGTTTATTGTTAAATACTAGAACGGAACATTTATGCTGGTTGGAACAAAACAAAAAAATCCATGCCAGGAACATCCGCCTACATGATAATAACATCAACATGTTTGTGTAACATTTGTGAGGGCGCTCTGTCTGTGTCCTTGACGCTTGTCCCAAATTATTTTGGTGTCTGGTCGCCACCTGCATCAGCACTCTCTTGTCATTCTCTATAATGCATGATAACACAGGTGTTTAAAGTTCTGAATTCCAGATTTTAAGCTGAAAGTTAAAAGTGTACTTGTTTTTCATGTATCCATAGGTTCTGGTGTTGGCCATTTTGAACAGCAAACGAGTGGCCAGGGGTCCCGTTCTAATTCCCCACATATAGACAACCTCGCGAACATTCTGAGTCAGCTTACACCGCAGCCCAACAGTTTTGACCCGGCCCTTCTTGGCAGTGCAACCTCTGGTGGGGGTAACTCAAATCTCTTCTTGTCTGGTTTAGGCCTGCCACCCCCTCTCCCCGGGGGGATGATGCACCCACCTCCATCCACCCCAACTGGACTGCCATCGTCCAATTCGTCGGGGTCGCGTTCCACCACCCCAAGTCTTGAGAACTTGGCTGGGTTGCTCTCACCTTCGCCCCAGTTGAACGGACTTGGGGCTTTTGGAAACCCCCTCGGCCCAAACTCTGGCCTAGGAAATGTGATGGCCCAGCCACCAGGTAGGTTTTCATGGCCTGGAGATTTGTACCCCCAATTGTCGTTACGTTAAATGCTAACATTTCAAGTTAAGGTTGTAAATTTATTTGTTAAAATACTAAAAGTATGTTTTGTTGTTTAGAACTAACATTTACACACGTGGAATTATGATTTCATTAATAAGCATACAATGGCTAAGCTTCACAATTGAAAGCTTGCTACAATGCAGCCAACTTTGTCAGAAGAAAATGCTCTTGTATTATAAATGTGGAAAGGTTTGGCAAACGATTTTGAAAAAAAAAAAAAAAAAAGACTTTTCTTGGCTTCATGAATTTGATGACTGCTGTACACAATGAGGAATGTGTATACTTAGAAATACGATTTCCAGGAATACCTATCACTGGTAATGGGGGCGGTGCAGGATCTGGCGCTGTAAACCCACACCCACCTTTTCCTGTCAGAGCTTCGGGGAAGATGTCTGCTATGCAAATAAGGTATGTACAGGTTGAGAATGAGCTAAGGGCCAGGTAACTTTTTCCAGAGATCAATTACTAACTGGCTAATTTTTGTACATTTATTTCTCTGGTTGAGAGACTCCTTAGACAAGCAGAGACAATCCAGCTGTCTTGCTATACTTTTTCTAATGATGATGCAAACTATTCTCTACATACGCTGTACACAATATATGTCATATTAACTAGACACCTTTACACAAAACTGAGACTGATTTTAACTTAGAGAGATGAAGCCAAAGTGACTTTTACATTTGAAAATGTCCTCTGAAACTTGATTAGAGATTCTGGTTATATGGTTTTATTCAGATACCTAAAATTCACCAAATTTTTATATAATTTGATTAAAAATAGGAATTTTCTGTAATGTAGTTTGGTCATGAAATCACCACCATGACAGCCATAAGATTTTTTTTAAAAATACTAAAATTAATATGACTGATGCCATCATCAATATTATTTAGTCACAGACCTCAACTTTTCACTTACTAGACTAAGTAGCAATAAGTTGAGACATGAATAACAAACAAAGTATGAATTTAAAGTAGGGATATTAATAGATATAATAATAGACAGTAAATATTTTCCTTGGCTACAGTTGCCATAGTTATAAACCAAAACCTCTTTATGTTCAGCATAACCAAGATATGTGTTAATATTACCACAGAAACCCAATTTGTGCTATCTGAACCTCAGTGTGTCTGGACCACACTGGTGGGACAATGTGATATAGGTTGGCAGTTGCACTGCAAGAAATTGTTGACCACAACCTGTCTGCGGTCTGCTAGCCCTGAAGTGTAGATGAGGTTATTTGATAATGTGATAGTTTTTTTTTTTTTTTTTTTTTTTGCATTGTATGTCCAGTCATGTTATATGTGGCTTAAATGCAATGTTGGACTTTCTTATTTGCTTATTTTCTGTATTGGTGCGATGGTTTGTACATAAATGTTGAAACTACTCCACCAGCTTGGGTCTATGGATTAATGTAAAATTAAAAGAAAAAGAAAAAAAAAACAGTTGCATTTATATCATCCTTTCTAGGTGCAAGTTTGGTCAGCTTGGGCCAGGCAAAGGGCAGTTCAATTCTCCTCACGGATTCTGTCTTGGAGCAGACGAAGACATTGTTGTGGCTGACACAAACAATCATCGCATACAAGTATTTGAGAAAACTGGCGAATTCAAATACCAGTTTGGCATACCAGGTTAGTGGGCCAGCATAATGATTCTTTTCAATTGATGGAAATTGTTGATTTTACAGATGCTGTACTTTTTCAAGGCCATAAATTCTTAAGATACGAATATTCTGATTGAGGGGTAGCAAAATAGGAAAGCAGGCTATCTTATCGATGTGTTCAGTACCATGTAAGCACTGTAAATACTGGATAGAATATATGATTTTTGATGATTTTGAAATTATTTATCTAAAAGGTTGATAACTTTTCCCCATTGTTAAGATAAATGCACTTCACTAAAAGATTTGTCAACAAATAATAGTGTGTAAAGTAAAACCTTTCATTAAAAAACTGCAGTATGTAAAAGTGTTAATCTGAATCTTTCCCTTTCCCCCAAAGGAGATAGTCTGCTAGTTGGCTATGCACTGAACATATATATTTGCTCTGGCATACTTTGGATGACAATTTTGATAACATACTGTCATACACAGTTCACTTACTCTAGCCTGAAAGTGAATGCAGATATCCTTCAGAATTTACATAACTGCTCAAAAGATGATATATTGACCTGCAAGAGTAAAGACTGTTTATCATTGTAGTCACCATTTATATTAACCTCCGGAGCTATGACATATGCTTGCTATGTGCTTCTGTGATTAGAATAATAAATTTGGTGCCTGTGGCTGAAAGATGATAAAATTTTGCATTCAGGGCGTGAAGAAGGTCAGTTGTGGTACCCCCGCAAGGTCGCTGTCATGCGCAGCACTGGAAAGTATGTGGTTTGCGACCGAGGCAACGAGCGTTCGCGCATGCAAATATTCACCAAGAGTGGGCACTTCATCAAGAAGATTGCCATTCGATACATTGACATTGTTGCGGGATTGGCAATAACCCAACAAGGTTAGAGAATATTAATTGTAATTGTCTTCTTAGTTTGAGGAACTTGGCATTCATATCCACAGAGCTGTAGTTGTATTGATGTTAATATATATTTTATTTATTTTATATTTATTTATTTATTTATTTATTGTACATCTATTATTTACAATCTGAGTTAATAAAAAATATAGATTTTTCAAATAGTTGGTATTTATTTGTCAGAATTGATTGAAACATTTGTGTCAGTCAATGAGGACATAAAATTGACAAAATACTGACATAAGTCTTTTTTAAACATCCATAATAGCTATCCTTTAAAAAAATGTTTCATATATTTTATCTACAGGCTACATAGTTGCTGTGGACAGTGTGTCTCCCACTGTGTTTGTGATTTCTGAGGGCGGCGATTTGGTGAAATGGTTTGATTGCAGTGACTACATGAGAGAGCCCTCGGACATTGCCATCAGCGGCAAGGAGTATTTTGTTTGTGACTTCAAGGTGAGGTTTTCTCAGTGGTTAAGTAAGCTAAGATTTATATGATGTGTAGATATTTTGTGGATGTTAGAGAGAAAGAGAGTTGCCTTGAAAAGAAAATTTCTTTGATCATTTTATGGGTTTCAGTGGAATTTTTTTCAAAGTATAGCATGGAATTGTCATTTCACAACTTTTTCCCTGATAATATCCTTGCCTTTCCTCAAATAATTTTACCATTTCTGTTTTTTGTAATTAAAAAGAGTTAAGAGGTGCTTTGTATGTTATTGTAATTATACAGGATTGAAATGAAAGCGGTTTATGTACTTTAAGTTTAAGGTGATTTGTTTCTACTTAAGGGTCATTGTGTGGTGGTGTTTAATGAAGACGGCCAGTTCATGCGTCGTATCGGTTGTGAGAACATCACCAACTACCCCAACGGAATTGACATCAGTGATGCCGGCGATGTCTTGGTGGGAGATAGCCATGGCAACCGTTTCCATGTGGCAGTGTTCCAGCGCGATGGCTCTCTTATTGGCGAATTTGAGTGCCCCTATGTCAAGGTCAGCCGCTGCTGTGGATTGAAGATCACCTCCGAAGGATATGTGGTAACCCTGGCCAAGAACAACCACCATGTTTTGGTTCTGAATACCCTGTACATTACTTAAAGCAAGGATTTTACTGTGTTTTTTATTCAGTTTGTTGATTATTTGATTTTTCGGGATGGGGCACTTTTTGTATAGGTTTACATTTTGCTTCCAGGCTTGTGGAAAGTTTTTGGAAGTTGATAAGCATAATCCACGGTGGCTGCATGGTGTGCAGCTCCCTTTAGCATTGTGAACTGTGAGCGAATAAGGAAAAGCTGGTAAACTTGCAAATGATTAGTCCTTGGTATATGATATAGCTAATTGGTATCAAGGTTAGCAAATGGATAACAAAATCCAATTTATGAGTAATTTTTTTTTTTTTTTTTTTTTTTTTTTTTTTTTTTTTTTTTTTTTTTTTTTTTTTAATTTTTAAAAATCAGAGGGGGAAAAAATTTTTTTTTTCCCTTTTTTTTTATATTATATTATTTTTTTTTTTTTTTAAATTTTTTTTAAAAAAT